ATTTTATTTTCCAGATATCACCCCTTCATCTTCAGCTCACCCTGTATCCTCTATCTATCTATCTATACATACAAACATATAATTTTTTCCCTCCCACTACCCTAATACTGACAAAGGACTCATGAGTTACAAATATCATCTTTCCCTGAAGGAATGTAAACAGTTCAACCTTAATAAGTCTCTTACGATTTCTTTTTCCTGTTTACCTCTTCCATGTTTCACTTGAGTCTTGTATTTGAAAGTCAGATTTTCTATTCAGCTCTGGTCTTTTCCACAGGAATGTTTGAAAGTCCCCTATTTCATTGAACAACCATTTTTTACCCTGAAGGATTATACTCAGTTTTGCTGGGTAGGTGATTCTAGGTTGTAGTCCTAATTCCTTTGCCCTCCAGAATATCATACTCCATGTCCTCCAGACCCTAAATGTAGAAGCTGCTAAATCTTGTGTTATCCTGATTGTGTTTTCACAATACTTGAATTGTTTCCTTTTGGCTGCTTGCAATATCTTCTCCTTGGCCTGGGAATTCTGGAATTTGGCTACAACATTCCTAGGATAAGCAGTTCTGTCTTAACACAGACAAGAAAACTACTGATCAGGAGATAAGAACTTGTTCACATTTGAGCAGATCTCTTCTGTCCCATTCATGGATAGGCAGATCTAAGCTGGGGAAGAAATTTAGTCTTCCTTGAGCAGGACTCATTTGCCCTTTTGCAAATAGCCATGCCCATTTACTAATGAATATGTCTTCAGAAATAGATCATAGCATGTTGTTCTTCAATTCTGAAGTTGGGACTAGGGATTAATCTATTTCTTGATTCTTTTATTAACTGCCTACTTCAGCAAATATGATTCCATGCCTATATACATGTTTTCATATATAGTTATATATATGAATGTATAACACATTTATCTACAAGTATGCATATGTATATATGAATACACATTTATCTACATGTATGTATATATCTATGTGTATAGGAATATAGCAACATATAACACATTTATCTTTAGGAATTTAGATGTATATGTGTGTCATTCTGTATGAGATATTTGTGTATGTATACATAAAGATGCATGCATATATATCAATGTGTTATATATCATATATTTGTTGTATGTGCATATTTATATACACAAATACACACACAGTTGTCCAGCCCTGTAACTTCATGGGTCCAGAGAGCTTCTGAGGAAGCCCTTCCTCTCCTAATTGTTGTTGAGTCATTTCAGTCATGTCCAACACTTCATGACCCCCATTTGGGGTTTTCTTGGCAAAGATACTGGAGTGGTTTGCTATTTCCTTCTCCAACTCATTTTACAGATGAGGAAACTGAGGCAAACAGGGTTAAGTGAGTTGCCCAGGGTCACACAGCTAATACCTATCTGAAGCTAAATTTGAACTCAGGAAGATGAGCCACCCAGTTGCCCCTTCCTCTCCCAGCACAGCACTTTATGTGCTCTGAAACTTACACAGAGACAGTAAACAAACACATATCAGCTGTGTGACCTTGGACAAGTCATGTAATTTCTTTGGGATTGTCACTAGCTGTAAATTGGAGGGTTTGGACTAGATGAACTAGAAAGTCTTTTTCAAACTCTAAAATTCTGTAAATCTTGTAATTTAGTTGCTACCTCTGACTATGTAAACCTTAGACCAGACAGTCCCATTGCCCTGGTCCTCCAATAAGATGGCCTCATTGTCAATGCCTTTTGTGCCTGTCTCCTAGTTACTTGGATCAAAGACTCTGAAGGTCTGCTTTATATTTGCCTAGAATTATCTACAAGACTAGGTTTACTGTATTGTTCAAAAATTGAAGCTGAATTGATCCTCTATCTTGAAATTAACCTTGCCTTGGTCCTTCTGACCATTCTAACTAGTGGCCTTTTTCTCTACTTGACAAACTTCCAAATGAGAAAGACTATAAAGAAAAGATGGATAGGAGTCATGCTATTGTTCACCTTTACTTTCTCAGACCAATTAAAGGAATAAAAGAAGCTAGTTATTTCTGAGATGTGACATGGGAATTACCAGGTTGGTGGTTATGAATACTATACAATGACAACCAAATCAAAACAAACACCATGGTGGACAGGCATGGAGTTCTATATAGTCCAGAATGGTCAGAGGACAAGGAATTGGATAGCTCCATGGTATGACAGAAAAAGTAGTAGACCAACGACCTGAGTTTTAATCCTGTCTCTGCCACTTTCCCTCACCTGGTGTCAGTTCATTTGTCATCAGATGGAGGGGGTTGCCTTAAATGATCTCTGAGGCCCTTACATTGCCAACATTCTGTGATTTCATGAATTGTGACATAACTTGGAGACTTGGGTGTTCATGTTTCCAGGGGGAATCACCATACGTTAAGAGGTAATTGGAGAGAATATTCCTTTCTGAGGTTGGTATGGTGTTGTCTTGAAGGGGCATCCTTCTAGTTTTTGTTTTGGTCCTGACACTGATGAGGGGAACCCTCCAGTGTGGAAATTCCCTTCATTCACAAAGGTCAGCAACTAATTTGTTATAGGCTTATATTTATAGTCTTAGAGAGTTGCCTTGGGGTATTGAGAGGTTAAGTTACTTGTCTGTGGTCAGGTAGCGAGTATGTGTCTGAGGCAGGATTTAAACTCAGGTCTTCCTGACTCCAAGGCTCTATTCAGTAAGCCCATGCTGCCTCGACTCGGTTCTTATTGCCAGTTTTTCTTGTCAGGCCCTATTACTGATGCTTTCAAATGAAGAGTATTATCACTAAGTGGAGTTGGGTACCCAAACAGTTTTTGGGGTGTGGTCAGTAAAACATTACATTTGGGCTTCAAATCTCTATCAGGTACTTTGGGTAGAAAGGAAAGCTCCAGAGATAATATGGATATCATAGGGAATACAGGTTTTTGCCGCAGCTGGGGTAACAGATTGGATGTGTGTAGTGTATTGCTGGGGGTTGTAGAAATAAATAAGGATGTCATTTGGATAAAAAAAAAAACAAACAAACCCAGTTGTTCAGGAGTCACTGGAACATTCCATTCATAAAATGCAGCAGCCAGTTCCTGGGTTTTGAAGGTGGCCAGTCAGGAAGTTAGGGGTTGTCTCTCAATAGCTTCTAGCCACATTGACTAGTTCTTGCATTTCAAGGCTTCAGTAGGCCTGACTGATGAGGTTGGAATCAAGCATGACCTATATTTCATTGTCCTTGAGGAAGGCATGTTGAGAATGGCAGCTTTTGGTAGTCCCAGGATATTCTGTAAGGGACTATCCCTGACTTTTGTTAAAACCTTTGAAAGACAGCATGATGTAGTTGATTGAGTACTGTTTCTGGAGTCAAGAACATCAGACATCCTGCCACAGACACTTACTAATATAACCATGGGGAAGCCACTTAACCACTCTCGGGCCTCTGTTTCCTCATCTGTAAAATGGGGATAAGTCACTCACCCCAAAGGATTGTTGTAGGGATCAAATGAGATATTATGTGTAAGATGCTTTTCAAACCTTAAAGCATTATATAAAATAGTAATGTTATAAAGAGCTGTTTTCTATGATGAGGGCTATAAGTTTCTCACCCTTGAGAGTGTTTTTGTTTGAGGGATGGAGAGTAATCCCTGCTGTAGAATAAGCATATTCCCATGATTATAGATTTAGAGCTGGAAGGAACCTTTGAAATCATCTAGTCAAACCCCTTTATTTTACAGGTGAGGAAACTGAGACCCGGAGACAGGGACTTACTTGCCCAAGATAAACGTTGTCAATAAACATTGGTTAAACACTTGCTATGTGCCAGGCACTGTGCCAAACTCTGAGGATATAAAATTGGCAAAAGACAGACCTTGCCCTCAAAGAGCTCGTAATCTAACGGGGGATACAGCAAGCTAAATACCGGTTAAATAGGAAATAATTAACAGAGGGAAGGCACTAGGATTACACAGGTTAGAAAAAGCTTCCTGTAGAAGATGGGATTTCAGTTGGTTCTTAAAAGAAGCCAGGGAAGCCAGCAGGCTGAGAGGAGAAGGGAGAGCATTCCAGGCATGGCAGAAAGCCAGAGAAAATGCTGGGAGCTGAGATATGGAGCATCTTTTTTGTAGAACAGCCAGGAGGCCAGTGTCACTGGACTGAAGAGTATGTGGTGGGGTGTAAGGTGTAAGAAAGTAGTAGGGGGCTAGGAAGTAACACAGGTAATGCACAGGAACCAGGATTTGAACCCAAATCTTGGCAAGTGAGATAGACTTGCTTCAAGAGTACTTGCCCTACTGTACCAATAGGAGGAGGTGACATATAGCTAGGGTATTCAAGGACAAAGGAGGGAGATAATTATTACAGGTGGATGTAGATTGACTGTTGTCTTTGGCTGGATTTCTTTGACAGTGAAAAACTGACCTCTGTAAGCTTTCACTAAGCAGAGAAGGACCCAGCTGCACCTGTGTAGGTGAACCAGGGCATTTCCTTCCACATATATTCTTTGTACCCATTTGTATGTTGTGCCACTGGGAAGGCTGATGGAGGTGAAACAGTGGTGGTGTGTCTTTTTCCATGTACCTTAAGTATCTTGTGGACTTGGGTTGTGGTTATGCCTGGTACTGCCTTTAGAGTCCCATCAGGCATTTCACCAGAATATGTTTAGGATAACATGACATATATTCAGATGCAGCCTAAGCTGCATATATCACGGAATGAGCTGAGACTCAGTTCTATCCCTTTAGAGAGAGCCATAGATGTAATGTTTATGTTCAAACCCTCTGAGCTCTTCCACAGCTTCTCCTTGTATTTAGATTTCTTTGTGAACTTGACCCAACTGGCCCCATCCCTACAAACCCACCAGCTGTTTATCAGTGTCCATGGTAACTATGCTCTAAGTTTCTGTCCAGTCCTAAGATTCTATGACTTTGACTTTAGTTCCAGGACTGTCATTCTGCTATCATCTGAAAGTTTTTCTTCCTGCAGACTTATATAACTCCTAAAGCCTGTTTTTAAATTTTATTTGCCAAAGGAATAATTTTCTTTCTCTTTCAGGAAAGTCTCTAAAAGAAATGGAACAGCCATTGTCAACACTTGGAGTGAAAAATGGTTGCAGAGTGATGTTGATTGGGAAGAAGGTGGGTTCACTTTTCTTAAGTCTCTTATAATTGAATAATTAAGCTTTGTTTATATATTTTTGTTTGAAAGGTAAATCTAGAGCTCTGTGAATCTCTCCTTTCCTAGTTAAAACAGTTTCTCTAGAAACATGTATTTTCTACAAGGAACTCTTTATGAAGGAGCCTTCTCTCCCATTCCCACTCCTCAGCCTCTAGGGGTAGCTCTGAGGGATTGTGGAAGGTTTTGTGTTTGTTGGGGTTTTTTTTAGCACTGTAACTCATTAGCTTTTAGTAGTATGCTCCCCCATGATTATCAGTTGGCATTAGTCAGCCAAATTTCACTAGTTTTTGTAAAGGAATAATTTACTAAGGTGGTATAATAAGGGAAGTTGATACAAAATACTGCTCCCCCCTCCCCCCAATCTGGGCTACAGTTTCCCACCAGCACATGCAGAGAACAGGGGGAAATGGGGCTCACTCTTAGAGTACACGTGGCAAAGAGGGTAACTCACTCATTGTTCCTGGAAATCCTTTGCTGAAGTCCTTAAGATGGTCTTCTTAGATATGATACAGCTTCCCACTGGTCTCCTTGTAGAGTCATAAATCTGTCTTTCCTCAGTAGGTCTAGTTTGTACTAGGCTCCTGCAGCAGACCCTGCCACCAGTCACTGCTGTTCCTGGGACGCTGGTAGGACTCTGATGAGAAGTCCAAATCTTCCAACCCACCCAAGTTCACAAGGTCATTCTCTGGTCAAGGTGGAAGGGGAGGAGGCTCTATTCTTCTCTCTCCATCTCCTCCCCAGTCCCCAGCAATAGATTCTCTCTTAGGGGCTTTGCTAGAACTCTTCTAGATTCTAAATTGGCTTGCTATTTTATAGAAGACCTATAGGAATTACATTTAGTTAATGCATTTGATTGATTGAGTGATTCAGTTGATATGTTCTCACCTAATAAAGTTGCCAAGGCTAGAGTAGTTTTGTGGAGTAGAACTGGTTTTGTTATTTACTTTTACTGGGGTATGGTGATTAACAGATTGACACAGTCCATCCTCTACCCATATATGAAGTTTGTAGATGTCATCTGAGATGCTTAAATCTACTCCGTGTGGAGTTTTAACTACAGCCATGTGGAGTTTTTGGGCTTAGGTGATTAAGTATCCAGTATGATGTTGATAGAACAAGAGTCTGGGGCTTTTTTCACTAAACTAACCTGTATGCTTTAAGGTTTGCAAAGTGATTTCCCTCATTACAACACTGTTAGGTAGAGTAGAAGTATTTTTATCCTTTTTGTGAATGACATTGTGCTGATTGCATCAAGCCCAGAAACATCACATATCCTATGAAATGAGATCCATGGTCACTCAGAAGAGTTCAGGCTACCCATCCATCAGAAAAAAAACTAAGTGGATGAAGAATGTCTGTTGTCTGAGACTATAAATATATAGTTGAATGCACAGTCTATTCAGTTGGACTGTCTGAGACAGACTCTCAGAACTGGTTCATCAGTACAAATTGCAGATGACTGATGAAATTGTGCCAAGAATTTACTAGGATAAGAGGGCTGAATTGTTTTTGAAATGCAGTGCTTTTAATGGCCTAAGAGTCAGTAGATGTAATGAAATCCCAGGTCCTGATCCCTATCCCCTTTAATGACCCCCAAGTTTCTCTCTCAAACAAATCCTCATCTTTTAAAAGTCAGTATCATTTTGATGATGCTCTATAGGTATGAATCATGGAAAAATATAGTATCTGAAGAATTAGTGCTTGTGCAGTACATCACTAATGAAGACTTGGGCAACAGAATTAGTGTAAAGGACGGCTTAGAGATGTGTAGGACTGTGAAAGAAGGTGGGCCGATCAGGTAGTTGGGAATGGCCTTTGTGCTCCTTTGATATGTCAAGAGATCTGGAGGAAGGCTCCAGTAGGTCAGGTGGACCCCCTGTGGAGGACGTGGTCAAGAGTAATGCAAGTTGAAAATACTTGGATGTGTTTTTATCTGTACCGTTGGTGAGAATACCTGGGTTAATAAGATGACAGCTTGATTAACATCTCCAGTACTATAATTTTACAGATGAGAAAACTGAAGTGCACAGTGCTTTAGTGACGTGCCCTAAATCAGGCCTGCGCAACCTACAGCCCACAGGCCTTGAAACATATAGAGGAATCCTTTGCATTTTTTGTGGGCCACCCAAAATCCTTTGGTGTGCCACAAGCAGCCTGTGGGCCGCAGGTTGTGCAGGCCTGCTCTAATTTATATAATAAGAAAATGTCAGAGGTGGGATCCACATTCAGGGCTCTCAGGTCTCTGAGCATAGTACTCTGGTTTTTTTGGATAGGCAATGGGGTTAAGTGACTTGCCCAGGGTCACATAGCTAGTAAGTGTTATGTGTCTGAGGCCGGATTTGAACTCAGGTCCTCTTGAATCCAGCGCTGGTGCTCTATCCACTGCGCCACCTAGATGCCCCCTGAGCCTAGTACTCTGTGTTTTTGTGGCTTTGCTTGAGGTAGAGATGAATGCAAACTGATACGCAAATTTTTAGGAGGCTTTTGAAGCAGTCATCTACGACCAAAGCTTCTACTGAGATTTGAGCATTGTGGCATGATCACAGTGTTGGGAATGGAAAGGTATTTTAGTTCTAGTGTATAGAATGACTTTGCGTATTGAGGGAAGTTTTATTGTTGTTGTTGGGTCATTTCAGTTATGTCCAACTCTTTGTGATCCCATTTGGGGTTTTTTTGGAAAAGATACTGGAGTGGTTTGCTGCTTTCTTCTCCAGTTCATTTTACAGATGAGGAAACTGAGGCAAACAAGGTTAAGTGACTTGTCCAGGGTCACACAGCTAGTAAGTATCTGAGCCCAGATGTGAACTCAGGAAGATGAGTCTTCTTGATTCTAAGCCAAATGCTGTATCCACAGTGCCACCCAGCTGTCCTAGAGGGATGCTAGATGCCAGCAAAATGGAGGTTATAACAGTCTAGTTGTGAAATTACCTTGGTCCAGAATAAATTTGAACAGCTTGACGAAGAAGGAAGCATAGTGGTGAGAGAGGTGGCCTGGGAGGTAGGAAGATTCCTGGGGGTTTAAGTACTCCCCCTGAGCACACCTACTATCTGTGTGACCATGGCCCAGTCATGTAACTTTGCAGTGTCTCAGAGCAACTCTCTAAGACTCCCTAAGTTCTAGGTAGAAATATGAAGTCTGCATAGGTGGGTTTTCACACTCTGTGTTCCCCATAGAGATGAAATCACAAAACAAAAGCACAGTAGAGGAGGCCTTAGCTGTTGATTATTGGACCAAGTCAGAGACAGAGAAACTTCTAAGACCTTTTAGATTTAGAGGTGTGGTGATGTGTATCTAGGAATAGAGATAGTGGGGCTTCTCATTGGAAATATCCTGAAGAAAGGGGAAGATCTCCTATTGGATAAAGATGGAGAAGCTGAGTAGGGAGATTTGGTAATTATCTGCTTAGAAATGTTAGGAGAGTTCTCCTCTGCTTGATTAAAAAAAGAATCCCTGGAGTATTCTCCCTTATTGTTTCCTCTCTTCTGCCACTCTGGCCCCAGCATCTCTATCTGTTGACATCCTACCTGTTTAACAAATGACCCTTCTCCCATGAAGTCTTCTGTGATAACCCAGCTAGATGTGATCTCTTCTTCATTTGATGTCGTATAGCTTTGTACTCTCTCTGTTTACATCTGTGTATTATTCCCCCTATCGAACTGAGTTCCTTGAAGGCAGGCACTTTGTCTTATTTCATCTTTTTATCTTTTTTGGTGCTGTACACATAGAAATGATAAAAGTTTTTGGAAGGAATGAATACATGCACGAATCCATTTGCCCACAAATTGTCTACTTGGCCAGTAACAGTTCTCTATTAACAAACAGCTCCAGAATCTAATGGCTACTCAGGTCCGATAGGATATGGGATACCTGCTGGAGATTTACTTTAGGCTAGAATCTAATGGCTACTCAGGTCCGATAGGATATGGGATACTTGCTGAAGATTTACTTCAGGCTTTAGTACTAGAAAGGTTAGACCATTTTCCATAAGTTTCCCTGAACTTTCTAGATCAAAATCTTTGCACTATGGAATTCCAAATGTCATACTTTTCATCAGTCACACTTATTTTTTCCAAAATGGCCACACAGTGGAGCCGCTTCCTTCTAGAAGATTAGTGGTTTAGACCAGGCTCACTTGGAATTGTCCCTCCAATGAACTATGCAGCCCTTGATAATTACCTTATTTCCCTTTAAACATTTTTCAGAACAGTCCAGAGGAAGAGGCTGAATTAAAGAAATTAAGAGACTTGGAGAAGTCAGTGGAGAAGATTGCTGATCAATTAGTAGGTGTTAATGAAGAACTTGTTGGTATACAGAAGGTAAATCTCTTTCATTATTTTTCTTTAAACTTTCTTAGTACAAGTTTTCTGTCTGTTTTTTTTTTTTTTTCATCTGGCATTCAGTTGTGCTCTGTGGTGTGAAATGATGTGTGAAATACAAAGGCCAGTTTGATTTTAGGCAAGCTGTGTGTATGTATTTGACACATCGGACATGTCTGTCTATTTGAAGTTTCTCAGTCTTGGCAAGAGTTGCAAGGACTTCTCTTAATATCTATACTGTGGATTTTCTTAGAAAATTTTTTTTTTTACCAGTTAACCAACCCTTTAAATATATTTATGTATAAACAAATTTATATATAAATTGATGATGTCCTTTGTCCAGTTCTTCATTAGTAATGTGTTGCAGCCTATTCCCACCTACCATGTGCCTCACCATTGCCCTTTGGGATCACAACATGACATTTTATGGACAGATAGATAGGTCTATAGATTGCACTTTATCAATTTATAGATCTATAGCTATATTTATAGATCTATATATCTAAGTTTAGCTCTTTAGATCTATAGATTAATATATCTATAAAAAAAAATGTTGTATGTACCTGAGGGGCACATACATCTATCTTCACATATCAGTCAGTAAGTATATATTAAGTGCCTACTATGTGCCAGGCACTGGGCATATAAGCAAAAAGTTCCTGCTCTCAAGGTGCTTACATTCTAAAGGGGGAGACAATGTGAAAACAGATTATGTATAAACAAGATATATGCAGGATAAATTGGAGAAAATACACATGTGTACATACACATATGTGCATATGTGTGTGTATACACACATATACAGATACACACACAGTTTTGTGCTTTAAAAAGACACAACATGACATAATAGTTAGAGGGCCAGACTTTGAATTGGGAAGACCTGTGTTCAAATCCCTAACTTTAGACACTTGCTAGCTATGTGACTATGGGCAAGTCACTTAACTTCTTTTAACTTCAGGCAACCCTCTAAGACTTAGAAACAAGATTGCCATCTGCATCAGTGCAAAGAATTCCTACATCCAGACATCACAGATCCTTGATTTATTGGTGTAACTAATCCTTATGTTGCCAAATCTTTATTGTTAGCAAGTCAAATTTCATGGAGGGAGGGAGGGAGAGAGAAAGAGAGAGAGAGAGAGAGAGAGAGAGAGAGAGAGAGAGAGAGAAACACCCTTATGGTTAGATTATATCAGTTACTCTTTACATTGTTTGAGTTCTGTTTCAGAAATTAGTAGCAACCCAATTGACATGTTTTAGACAAGATGATTCATGAAACAATCAGTCAAATTTCACAAACCTCTCACAGAATTCTGTGCTGTCAAACTATTATTGTTTGGGTGCCAGGACTCTATAATTATCAAAACTGAATGATTGAAGAATTCTAGTAGGTGAGAGTTGTTTTGCTTTTTATTCTGATTTATCTGGGCTTTTTTTTGTTGTTCAGTCATTCAGTCATTTCCTACTCTATGTGACCCTATGGACCATAGCATGCCAGCCCCTTCTATGCTCACTATCTCTCGAAGTCTGTCCAAGTTCATGTTTGTTTCCATGATACTTTCTATCCATCTCATCCTCTGCCATCCCCCTTTCCTTTTATCTTCAATCTTTCCCATTGAGTCCTTTTTCTCATTATGTGGCTAAAGTATTTTAAACTTCAGCTTTAGTATTTGACCTTTCAGTGTCTTTAAAGACTTTATTGCGCTGTCTTGGGATCCAAGTAGAAAAACAGTTAGTAATAACTCACATTTATATAGGGTATTACAGTTACAAAGCACTTTATATAATGTCTTCTCATTTCTTCCTCACATTAACTCCATGAGGCAGTGCAGTCCCCATTCTGCAGATGAGGAAATTAAGAGTTAAGATTGGGTAGAACTGACTTGCCCAAAGTTACACAGCCAGTAAGTAAAGGAAGGTGGAACTTGAATCCAAGTCTTCTGATTCCAAATTTGGTTGTTGACATCATATTGTTTTTTATTATGTTAAATGATGATGTTTTTGTCTCTGCAACCCCATGATTGTTTATTATTAATGGAGTTCAACTAGTTTTTAACCTAAAAATAAGGGCTTCTTTTCTAGACAGGTCACACCTTCAAAGCTTTTACTAGTATTAGAGTTGGGAGAGCATTTCATTTAGAGAAGATACATAGAATGGGAATGTCGATCTCTGAGAGACTTAACATTATGGCTGGCAGAGGATTCTGGCAGTGGTCATCTCAGGGTGCTGAGGGATTACATTGTGAGGGCAGGGAACCTATTTCAGGGTGATGGAAGAGTGGGAGCAGGGGAGTCAGTTTGTGGCATTGCTCAGATCTGATCAATTATAGATAAAGCATTTTCTGTGGGGACTTCAGTGGGGTTTTTCTTCCCCCCCCCCCCCCCAGGGAGAGGGAGAAATCCTAAAGGTGGACTTTGATGGTTCTGGAACAAAGCGCTAGGTCTGAATGGAACCTCTTGGAACAGACCTTTAAACCCCCATTTTTTTTTCTTGCCCACATCCTGACCAGTATCCTCAAGGGAGGAAATCTCTGGATGATAAAATCTGCCCCATCATTTCCCCTGATACTTACCAATGAACACCTCGTCTCCATACTGTACTTCCACCAATACTGCAGTTATCCTCACTCTGCCGACAGCTCTCAGAGCCAGAGATCCAGCCCTAGTTACTTTAAAATTCCAGTCCTGCCTCACCAATTGTCAATTAGACATTTCAACATAGATGTCCTGTAGGAATCTCAAACTCAACTAGTTCGAAACAGAACTCATTATCTTTACCCCAAACCAAATTCCTCCTCACTTCCCTCTCTCTATTGAGAACACTATCATCCTTCCAGTCACCAGGTTTGAAACCTGAGAATTGTTCTGGCTTTCCTTCTCCTTCCCCCTCCCCCTGAACCCCCATATCCCAACAATGGCCAAGTCTTGTTGATTCTCCTACTCCCAGTATCTCTTGATACCATCCCCTTTTCTCTACTCACATAGCCACCCTTCCCCTACCTCCCCCAGTTCAGAGACCCTTTAGATGGCTCTTTACTATTGCCATCCCAGCTTCCAGTGTCTCCCTTCTCTAACCATCCTTGACATAGCTGCCAAAATAATCTTAAAGCATAGAGCTGGCCTTGTCACTATCCTGCTGTGGAACCTTCAATGGCTCCCTATTTCCTCCAGGATAAAATACAGGTTCCTCAGCTTGGCATTTCAAACTCTTCATAATCTGGCTCCTTAATTACTCTTCTACTTTTCTCTTAATTACTACTTTATTATTTAATTACTACTTAATTACTCTTCTTTCTTCTATTCTTTAATTTCTCTTTTCCTCCTCTGTCTTTCACCATACACTTTGTTCCCCAAATTTGGTATTCTGTCTCTCACTTCCTTGCCTTTGCATTGGCTATTCCACAACCTTAGAATGCACTTCTTCTCTATGCTCTGCCTCTTAGAACACCTAGCTTTTTTTCTTTTTTTTTCTTTTGCGAGGCAATTGGGGTTAAGTGGCTTGCCCAAAGTCACACAGCTAGTGAGTGTTATGTGTCTGAGGCCAGATTTGAACCCAGGTTCTTCTGACTCCAGGGCCAGTGCTGTATCCACCGTGCCACCTAACTGCCCCTATCTAGCTTTTTTTCAAGCCTCAGTTCATGGGCCATCTCCTGCCAGAAGTCTTTCTTGATTCCCCTTGGTTGTTTGGGTTCCCTTCCAACTCTGAAATTCTGGGATTCTGTGAAAATCTTTGAGACATTTGTTGAGACATAATGAGAGCTGTGGGAAGAGGAAACAAGACCCAGAGAGAGGTAATTAGGGCTGGGGGTAGTTATTTAAATAATCATGTAACATTAGATTAGGAGGCAGCTAGGTAGTGCAGGGAATAGAGCACTGGACCTGGAGTCAGGAAGCCCTGAGTTCAAATTCGGCCTCTGACACTCACTAGCTGTGTGACTGTGGGCAAGTCACTTAACCTCTGTTTGCTTTAATCCACTGGAGAAGGAAATGGCAAACCAACTCCAAGAACAGTATGGTCCATGGGCTAACGAAGAGTCGGTCATGACTGGACACACTTAGGGATCATCAAGTCCAACCTCTTATTTTGTAGGTTGGGAAACAGAGGTGTAGAGAAGTAAATGTCTACATTGAGAATGTAGGAGAAGAAAAAGGGGGCTCAGGAAGGTAAGAGTATAGTGTCATAGAAACCAAGGAGTAAGAAATGTTCAAGAAAAAGTTTGGTCAGTAGTGTCCTAAGTTGTAGGAGGATAAGGAATGAAAAAAAGACCATTGAACTGAGGAAGTCCCTGGTGACCTTAGGTTGTGCTAGACTTTTGGGTAGCGACAGACACCATTTTGAAGAAGTTTTCTGAAGAATGAGTGAATAGATGGTAAAGAAGGGGAGTCAGGGAGTGTAGACTACTCTTTTGAGAAGTTTGCCCGGTTGTTAGCTTGGGGAAGTAGAAGTCTTTAGGGAAAGATACTTTAAGGTAGAGGAAAATGAGCCAGTGAAGGAGAGATTGAAGATAGAAGAGACAAGAGATAAACTGTTAGAACACAGCTTGTGCTCTTGGACTTTAGTTTCCATTAGGCAAAGGAGAAGCCTGAGGAATGGAAGGAGGAGTAGAAATATTGATGATGGCTCTGTATCTCTCTCATTCTAGAAATTCCATCCAAGGCTCTCGTGGCTGAGAGAGGGAAAGTTGAGGTGGGGAAACTACCCTCCTTGTGGCCCCAATTCTCCAAATCAAATTATTGTTACCAGTCATAAATATAACATTTACCTTCATATAGGGCTTTATCATTTATAAAGTACTTTCATACATTATCTCATTAGATCCTCACAACAAGTGCATGAATTAGATATGGTAAGGGAATCACATGGTATCACGTCAAAGAGACTTATTCTTGAGTCCTAGCTCTGCCACTAACTAGCTGTATGACTTTGGGCAAGTTACTTTACCTTTCTCAGCATTCTTTTTTGAAAAATCAAGGGGATGATGAAACATACCTCCCTCTTTTCAGCAGAAGAGGAGAATTCTTAAGGTGGAATGTTGTCTGCATCATTATATTTGTTCACTGTATTGGGTATTTTTGCTTAACTGTCTTTCATTGTTGTAAGGGAGGGTAGACCAATTCTGAGGATTATTATCCAGAGAGATTTAGTGAAAATTAAAAACCCAAGGGACCGAGTAGGCAGGCAGGCAGACAGATAAAACATGGCAGGGTGACTTCCTTGGAAATCCATACTCACAGATGATGTCAGGGTTTCCTTGAGCTTATACTTAATTATCCCTTACACATTTCAACTTTCCCCATAATAGTTTCAATCTTTTGTGGGTCAGCATAAAAAATTAAATGGGAAATTTTGTGGAGTTTTGTGGAAGCTTCAGACCACATACAAAGGCCAGCAGACGACTCAGAAAAAGTTTAGAAACTCAGAAATGCATAAAATATATGTACATATTGTATAATATCAACATATTTTATCTTTTAATACCATAAATATACACACTTCTTCTCTGGCACAAAAGGAGAGCCAAAAAATTTTATGCGGATTTTCCAGATGGCAGGGGCGCCTAACCCCTTGTGATGGGAAGGGGATAAGTGTACTGTCATGTGCCTCCTTGGTTGGGGAGTGTAAGTCTTGCAGCCTTTGGCGCCACCTAGAGTTCAAAGGCTCGCACGGCAGAGAGTGTCAGGTGTATTTCATAAAAGTCAGAGTATCTTAAATTGGGAAGGAGGCAATTTAATCTAAACATTTACTCTTTGTGGGGACTCCCATTCCAGCATTTTAGACAGATGGTCTTTTCACCTCTGCTTGAGCACATGCAGTAATGTGAAGCTCACTATCTCATAGGGCAGCTCACTTCATTTTCAAACAGCTCTAATTCACAGAATAAGATAATCTCAGTTGGAAGGGTCCTTGAAGGTTGTAGTTGTCAGGAAATTCTTTTTTATATTGAGAAAAAATATTCCTATATCTTGTATGCCTTTGCCCTAATTCTGCCTTTTTGAGTCACCTAGAATAAGTCTAATCCCTTTTCCATTTGATAAATCTTCACATATTTATAAACAGGTATGGTAGGTACCCTAAGTTCTCTCTTGTTCCGGCTTCATCCCCTAGTTGAATTGAAACTATGATGGGGAAAGTTCAGATGTGCATTTCTATGGCATTTTAAGGTTTGTGAAGAACTTTATGTGTTGTCTCATTTGATTCTTATTCCCATTTTTTACAGATGAATAAACTGAGGCTGAGAGTGGTTAAGGTACTTGCCCAGGGTCACGCAGCTAATAGGTGTCCGAGATAGGATTGAAACTCAGGTCTTCTTGACTCAAGTCCAGCTCTCTAGCCCCTGCACCACCTAGCTGCCTTAGTAGAAAAAACATGGTGGGTGGGGAGCAGGCCTGGACACTATCATTTCTATGACCAAATCAGATTCAACTGATATACTCCCTCAGTGATGGTGCCAGTCTAGTATATGTCACTGAAATGAGCACTAATTTTAATACCTGGCATTTATATAATGTGCTTGCTTAATAATAATAAGAGCTTATAAAGTATTTAACATACACTATCTCTTATGATCCTTAAAACTGTTTAGTGAAGTAGGTGCTGTAGTTATTATTATCCCCTTCTTATGGATAAAAAAAACCGAGACTCAGAGTTTATACCTTAATAGTAAGTATTGGAGGGAGGATTTGACTCTTAGGTCTCTCTGGTGTAGCACTGTATCCACTGGACCAATGTCATCACAGAGGTCCCAAAGTAACCCTGACAAATCAGATGTCAACCCCTGTCCTTCCTGGATGTTCCATCCTACAGAGCAGTCTATGGCTTCACTGTTTGAAACTTGAAGGATTCTGGGATGCAGAGGATTATGCCCATTTCTCAGCCTTTAGTGCTTTGGGGCTGGCTGCACGCTGGCTTTACTGACTTGCTTCACTGATCCATGTGTGAAGAGGCCCTGGGGTCAGATGAAGGGTACTGAGGCCCAGTTTTGTCTTCAGTGACTCATATCAGGCCCGGTGTTATCTGCTTTCACTTGGCACCGTGACTTGTCCAGCTATTGGATATTTAAAACAGTCATGCAAATCCCTAGGAGTAACATCTTTCTCCATGCAGGGTTTTCTAGCCAAGGGCTTGCGAGCTGAAGCTCTCAACAAACTTGACAAGAGAGTAAAAGGAACCGTTGAGCAGTTTATGAAGATCTTGGAACAGATTGATTCATTAGTGAGTAAATAGTTACATAAGCAGAGTAAATATTCTTAGAGACATATTTCTGACTTGTTGTGTTTCCCAGTAATACTTTGATAATGCCTGTATTTATATATGAGACAACATATGAGATGCTCTTGATTTTCTAGGCTTATAGGAGAAAGTTGTGTCTAGACACAAACAATATAAAGGAAAACACCTTTTCCCCCCACCCTCTCTCTCATTCTTATTATTTATCGAAGTGGCTAAGGTCCCTTGTAGCTCTAAAATTCTATTTTTTCCCCTGTCTCGTCCCTTCCCTGGACATAGGACCATAAACCCATAATAAATGCATCTAGGGATGAATAGCAAGGCTATAGGGCCTCAAGGAATTGATGCTGCCCACCCTCATCTCAATCCTTCTGTCCCTTACTCCCTGTCCCAGGTCTGTATCCCCCCCCTCAATTGTTGGTATAAATTAGAAAGCTCAGACAGTTATCAAGTTGTTTTGCAGACCCGAAACTACAGTTGCTGTTTAAGCAGTTGCAAACATTTGCGGACAAGAGGGAGGGTCAAATTAAAGGGCTAGAGAAGGGGGTTTTTTGGTGGGTTTTTTTAGAGCCCCTCAAAAAATTATATTCAAAAATCAGGAGTTTTCAAAGATAAGTCTGCACTTGACCATGGCTGTTGTCCCATCAACCGCCTTTTACATCGGAATAAGTTATAATCCGACTTTTACCTCCTCCTGCTTACCAAGTACAAGATTGCTTGTGAGGCTTCCAAGGTTCAGGTTCCCATACCTTGATCCCTTCTCTGCCTTTGTAGACTTACAATAATTACCAGGCCCCTCTTGCTGAGCAGGACTTCCAGTCCTCGACTCGCTCCTGTCCAACTCTCCTCCGTTGCTGCCTATGCCCCAAAGTGACAGAAACCGTTTCACCTGGATACCTGCTGGTAGGTATCCTTTTAGTCGTTAGAAAAGTGGACTTCCTCATTGTTCTACAGTTGCTCATCATGGGAAAGTCAGCTGTGGTGCTGGCTTTTAGAGAGGATGTTCTCTTCACTAATATTTCAAGGCTTCTACCAGGTCTTTCTTCTGTATGGTCATAAGGCACCATTATTTGGGTCGAGTCTCTTGCTGAGAATCTCAGTTCAGTCTTGGGCTCAAATAATGGCTATTCTGTGCTTGACCTCACTTCCTGACTCCCCTGGGGTCCAGCCACCAGCTGACATCTATTGAAATAACTACTGTTATCAGCTGCCAGAAATAGTAATAATCATACTTGCTTATGTTTATACGGCACTTGAAATTTTACAAAGCACTTTATGATTTCTTCCATCTTTGGAGGAAGCCCATTTCTCCAAGGGCGTGTCTGTGGCAAGTGTTGAAAAATCCTTTTTTTTCTTCCTACTATGTAATGCAGACTAGAGTAGGAGAAAAAAACACTAGGCTTAGAGCCAGATGGTGGTTGTTTTTGTTCAGCCATTCAGTTGTGCCTGATTCTTTTTGATCCTGTAGACTCTGGCACACCAGTGTGGTTTTCTTGGCAAACATACTGGAGTGATTTGCCCTTTCCTTCTCCAGTAGATTGTTAGGTGACTTGCCCCAGGTCACATAGCTAGTAGATGTCTGAGGTCACATTTGAACTCAGGTCTTCCTGGCTTCAGGCCCAGCACTCTATCCACTGAGCTACTACTAGGCTTAGTCCTTGAGATCATGGGTCTAAATCTTAACTCTGCCACTTAATACCTGTATGAACATGGGCAAATCGCTTAATCTGCTTCTCTGGCTAAAACGAAGAGGTTAGATTAGATGAATTTTTGGATCCCTTCCAGCTCTAAATCTATAATCTTTGATTTCTGATTTTTCTAACAAATTACTTCCTTTCTTGACTTCATGTAAGCTTAGCAACTAAAAATGATCTCATTATATTAGGTATATATATACACATAAGTGTTGTGGGCATGTGTCCATCCTCATTTGCTTTCAGGCTATGAATGACTGTGGATAAAAATCTTTGTAAGAACTACAAGATACCTTAAGAGTATCTACAGTATCAGTTATCAGGGAGAGTATGTTCCTGGAGAAACAAGCTTTCTGAGTGTAAGAATTGCCAGTGTTTTTCCACATATAAAGTGGCATCAATAAAATATGGCATGTAAGGTTCTATCCAGAAGGTACAAAGGGCAGCAAATGAAGGACGAATTCTTCTTTAAAATGAGATGGTTGGAATTTCTAAGGACCCTTCTATGCCTGGATCTATGATTCTCTGATGCTTCACTGTAAAATTTAGAAAAGACAGTCACCGAGGAAGGAATGACTTGTTCCACTTTCTCTTCCATTCTCCAACTGCCATGAGATGGACTTTTGAAGAAGCAATGAAATCACAGCATTTCAAAGCTGGAAGGCACCCTTGTTTATAAAAACAGAATGCATCAATAAAACTTTTTTTTAATAGCTGTTAGAGCTGACCCTGCAGCATTCAATATGCTGGCCGTAGCTGGCATCACCTACGCCAGTGGTGCCAAATTGAAATAGAAATGGGAGCCACTATTCCGTACATAGGGATCCCTTTGGGTCACATATCGACTTAGTTTTCAAATGTAAAATTATCTGTGTTTTATTGTATCTTTATATATTTTATTAAATATCTTCCAGTTACATTTTAATCTGGTTCAGGATTGACTTGGGGCCCCAAATTTGACATCTGTGTCCTAGAACATGACGTACTCCAGCCTAAACACTTAAGTTTGGAGCTGCAGGTTTGGTAAAACTAATTCATGCTTGACTTTTAAAATTACACAATTTTAAATTTAGCATAAAATAGAGTTACAGTTGTTTTCTGTCTAGCCAAATCCCTGAACTTCTTTGCTGAAGTGATCTAAATACTGCTTACCTAAAGTGCGTCGAGACATAATCAACTGCAAGGATGCAAGAAAAGATGCAGAAACAGTCGAGTCAGCACTTGATTTGCTCATTGGCCCAACCAAAACCCTGATCTTTTCTCCAGCCACTCTAGCTCTCTGGGCAAATCCACCTTTCTGAACCCCAGTTTCTTGCTCTATTACATGAGATTGGATTAGATGATCTCTAAGGTCCTATCTAGCTTTAAAGCTACGACCCTATGGCAAGAAAAGAGAAAGAGCACTGGAAAGCCCAGAGATCTTCAAGTTATAGCTTCAACACTTACTAGTAACTTCTTTGGGCCTCAGTTTCCTCATCTAAAAGATGGGGATAATGATATCTGCCACTACTTACCTAATGGGGTTATTCTTAGGAAAGTGCTTTGTAAACCTCATAGTGCTATAAAAATATAGGTTATTATTAGCATCAGTACTAATATTAATATTTAATAAGGAATAACAACAATAATATATTTTACAAATAAAAGGTTTTTCTGCTTTTGCCGCAGTTATCTGCAAAAGTAAATAATCAAAACATATTAGTCCTGCCAGCATTGCAATTAATTAAGGTTTTAAGGAAAGGGACTGAGTTCTGGAGATGGCAAATTTGGAATCAAGGGATCTCCCTAGATTAGAGATCATTTCTGTGGACTGGAAAGGAGCAGCAGAAGAGTAAAAAGATACCTGGACTTCTAGAACCCAGAAAACCCAGATTTTTCTCCTGGCTTTGCTGTTAACTAGCTATGTGACCTTGGGAGAGCCATCTAACTTCTCTCCTTTACCCCCACCCCCATCCTCATTTCCCACTTTGGTTTTTCTCAACCATAAAGTGAGACAGTCATCTCTAAGGTCCGTTCTATCATTCTGCCACACAGCAGTGAGTTATGAGTAGGAAATGACCAACCAAAATGGTCTGGAGTCTAGAACGAGCCATGGTCATAGTGTACTTTGCATTAATAGTTTGATTGTCTAGAGATCAGAACTAGAGTTAATTGGGAGGTGTTGGTGAAAAAAGAAGTAATGCCAAAGCAATGGGAGTAAAAGGGAGCTGATAGCAGGGCATGGGCTACTTCCTAGCAAGATGAGCAAGCAGCCAGAGATGGGGACAGGATGAAGTAGAAAAGAGAAACAGGAGAGGAACCAACCATAAAGACTTAGTTTGATATTTATGAATACTTTCCATGTGTCTAAATGCAGGGAGAGGAGATGAGACGGCTACACAATAGTACATTCCACGTGACCTAGATATAAAAGGTCATATCATAAGCAAATTAGAGAAGGGAAGGACATATGTTTCAGAGCTACATATGGGGAAGAATTTTGACCCAAGGGACAGGGATAAAATAGACAATGTTGTTATATGAAATTGAAAAGTTTTTATAGAACCAGTTATTGATGCAGTTAGAATTAGAAAGAAAATGGTTGACTGGGAAGAAAACTTTGTAGCATATTTCTCTGATAAGGGTCTGATATTTAAGATATGTAGAGAACTGAATATAAATATGTAAAAAAAAGAAGAGCCATTCCCCAGTAATAAATGGTCAAAGGTTATGAATAGACAATTTTCAAAAGAAGAAATGAAAACTATAAATAATCAAATGAAAAATGTTCCAAATCACTAATAATGACATAAATGCAAATTAAAACATTTCTGAGGTTCTATCTCACCTATTAGATTGGCAAAAATAACACAAATGGAAAATGACAATTGTTGGAGGGGCTGCGGGAGGTCTGGCACCTCTGCACTGTGGGCAGAGCTGTGAATTGCTTTGGCAATTCTGGAAAGCAATTTCAAACTATACTCCCAGATTTCTTAAAGGGTGCATACCCTTTGATCCAGTGGCATCATTACTAGACATATATTCCAAAGAGATCAAATGCAGAGGGAAAGAACCCACATGTACAAAAAGATTTATAGTAGCTCTTTTTATTGTAGCAAAAAAATAGAAATATCATGGGGAATGGCTGAACAGATATTTTTAGTATCACTTTTTGTTGTAACCAAACCAAAAGAAAAGAAAACAAAACAAAACCTTAGAAAATATTAGGGAATGGCTGAACAAAGTATGTTATAGGAATGTAATAGAACATTCTTGTACTGTAAGAAATGATGAAAGGGTCAGACTCAAAGTGACCTGGGAAGACTCGTATGAAATGATACAGAGTGAAGGGAGCTGAATTTAAGAGAACAATGCATTCAATAATTATAGTACTTTAAAAGAAAATAACTTTAAAAGATTTCAGAACTCTCAAAGCAGTTATGGGTTATCACTCTAGAAAACGGATAATGAAGCATTATTCCGACCTCTGGGAAGAGAGATAGTGGACTGTAGCTGCAGGATGAGACGTACATTTTCAGATATATCCCATCTGTGAATTTGTTTTGCTTGACCGTACTTATTTGTTACAAGGAAGGGCCAGTTGTAGAGAGGGTTGTGGGAGGGCAGTTAGAGTGATAGTGGGCCTGATTCATTTTCCACTCCTGAAATGGTGAGGAGGTTGACAACAATCTAGCTAGGCAACTGCAGATTTCTAGCCTGGAATAGAAGATTCTGGATATGGAGGATTCCAGAGAAGAGGCCGGGCAGAGGAAAGGCAGTATCGGGTAGAAGGATGGGGCATAGCTAAAGACTAGGCCAAGAAAAAAATGGATTGTTTTTTTCCTGGACTATGATGCTTTTTTAGTCTTTTCTGCTGTTTTATCACCTATTTCTTTCTTTACAAATGTGAATATCCTTCAAGATTCCCTTCTATTCCATCCATTCTGTTCTTTTCCTTTTCCTTCTCACTCTATACTGTTCCCCCTTGATATTCTATCATAGTTCGCACCAGTTCAATTATCATCTTTATGTAGATGACTCTCAAATCTATACATTCAGCCTGAATCTCTCCTAACTACAGTTCCAGCTGCCTGATGGACATCTCATACTTAACATGTCCCAGGTAGAACATCATTTTTCTGTCAAACCTGTCCCGCCTCCAGATTTCTCTATTTCTGGTGAGGTCACTGTGGTCCTTGATGTCCTCTAGGTTTAGAACCTCAGACGCAACCTTGACTTTTCCCTTTCCACTCCACACATTCAGCCGTTGGCCAAAATCTTGCCATTTCTACTTCCTCTTTTCTCCACTCTTTGGGCCATCATCCTAGGTCAGGCCCTCATCATCTCACAGGGATAAAAAAAAGACATCCTCTTTTCTGCCTATCAACATCAAGATGATGCATGGCAGTGAATGGGGGCAATAATAATACAGGGCCTGGTAGATTTAAGAAAAGGCCAGGAGCAGAAAATTAGAGGCTAGGTATGGGAGTGACCCAAGCCAAAGCAATGCTTTGATTAAGGTAGAACCAGAGGAGTGGCCTAGAAGAATAACCCAGAGTTGGGGTGCACATAGATCCCAGAGGTCTGTTGGCCTCTTTGTGTCCATAGTCTCCTTCCTTGTAAAGTAAGGATGTTGGACTAAGATAATCTCTAAGGCCCCTTCTAAACCAAAATGCTTATGACTATTGATAAAGAGTAAGACAGTGTATTGAATCCAGGTAGACAGTCAAAAACCAAGAAGACACAGAAACAAGAAAGTAAGAAAATGTAATAGGACTTTAACTGGGCAAACAGTCAGGAGCCAGGAAATCCATGGATATTAAAAGGGAAACACCAAACAGTCAGAGGAATGATTTACTTTAGGAGAGTGAGCTAACTCCTGAGTCAGCATACTGTCTGACGATTGTCCCATTCTGTGTGGCAGCATGCCACCCCTGGGACCCTGGCTCAGGGCTTTAGTAGTGCCCCTGCTCTACTCCAGGGACTGTTTGATCATTTTTACTCTTTTCTCACAGTTCTGACCACTAACAGTCTGTTCTGTCAAGCAGGTCATGGTGGTGACTTGGAAACCCAGAGAATCATTATGCAGTAACCTAGAATGGCTCTAGGTTCTGTGTGTGTGTGTGTGTGTGTGTGTGAGATACAAAAAAGTTGAGTACAAAGTTCCTGCCCTTACAGAGCTTATAGTGTAGATGTCAAGTTAAAACAGTTAAAGAGTGAGACAGCATGTATCAGTAGGGTTTGCTTATACAGTACAGGCAAACCAAGAGAAGGGAGATATCACGTGGCCTTGAGCATCCGGGTAGATGGTGCTTAATATATATGGATACAAGCAACTTTTGGAGACCGTAGAAAGTTGCAATTTGCATTTTTGGAGAGAATTTCCATCTCACGAAGTGACAGCCTCTTAACATTGACATAAACTGGATTTGTTAAAAATGGATCGTAAGATCATGGGTCTGGAGTTTGAAGAAACCTTAGAGACCAACTATTCCAACCCCTTCATTTTACAGATGAGAAAACTGAAGTTGAGGGAGGTAAAGGAACTTACCAATGTCATCATCCAAAGTGGAACTTGAAGCCAGAGAACTCTGGCTTTGGAGCTAGTGTTCTTTCCACTGTACCAAACGATTTCAAAATCCATAGTAGTCGTTTTCAGAAACAATATTTTTCTTGTGGTGATTTTTTTGAGGATTATTCATCTATTACTTTATATTTCTGCAGACTCTTCCAGAAACTTTCAGAGATTGTAGACTGAAAAGAAAGGGGTTGGTGAAAAAGGTTCAGGTAAGTTATGGAGAAGATGAAAAATCTCTTTGGCATTTTCTGTATATTCAATAGCCAACATTCAGTAATGGGCTTATATCCAACATTAGCCACAGGGAACCATTAGAAAACATCCACCAGTACCTTTCCTGTGCTTGGATTTGTAAATTTACTTGTGTAAGGAAGAATAGAAGCTGAAAGGGAATCCGATTCCTTAGAGCTCATTTCTTTCTTACTTAGCTATTATGTTATAGATATGATTTGGAAGTGTGGCCTGACCCCTGTTGGTAGGGAAACTTTCTTCAACCTGAGACAGATTATCCATGTTTTTTGGTTATTACCAAATAAGTACTTGTTGATTGATTGGACGTCCAGACTCAGCTTGGAGACATCTTGTGACAGAATTCACTATCTCCTGAGATAGCCCATTCAGTTTTTAATAGCTCTCATTGTTAGGAAGTTTTTACTTAAATTGAGCCAAAATCCACCTCACTATAGCTTCTACCCATTTTTCCTAGGTCTGCTCTTTGATGCCAGATGTTACAAGTCTAATCCCTTTTCTGTATAACGGCCCTCCAAATGCTGATTTCCTTCAAAGAATCCTTACAGGATGTCAACCCCAGCCCCCTCACCGTCCTGCTAACCTTCGTCTAAATGCTCTGCAATCTGTCAATGCTCTTTTCCAGCTAAGGTGTTCAGAATGAATGCAGTATTCCAGATGTGTTCTGATCCGTCTATTCCCCACCCTCCACCCCCAACCCCCAGGATAAGTACAGAAGGACTGTTGCCTCCTTATTCTAGGCAATTTGCTTCTTTTAATGCAGCCTAAAGAGTATGTTGGTGTATTTGGCTGACATTTCATACCGTTGGTATATATCACGTTTTCTAAAATTGCAGTTTTACTTTAAAATAGATGTCATTTGTTTTTATATCATAGTCATTTCTAGACATAGTCATCTGTCCCCTGTCCCCCTCCCCCCACTTCTCATAGCTATGTCAAACAAACTACTGTTCTGTACTTATGGAATTGATTTTTTGAACAAAAGTATAGGATTTTACATTTTTCTTATTTAATTTCATGGTGAGATTTGGCATACTGATTTAACCTGTTGAGATCTCTTTGAACCCTAATTGTAATTCTAATTGTTAGCTTTATCTCTCAGCTTTGTGCCATCTGAAAATTTGATAAGCATGCTATATATGGCTTCATCCAAATCACTGAAAAAAAATTGAATAAAATAATGTCAATAAACATTTGTTAAGTGTGCCAGCCACTCTGATAAACTCTGGGGATACAAACAAAGGTGAAAGACAGACCTGCCCTCAAGGAGTTTACAATCTAGTGGAGGAAGACAATATCCAAAAGAAAGCAAAAAAGCAAGGAGGGGAGGGGGAGTAAATACCCAGCCCAGCGTGGAGGGCATGACGGAGAAGAGTTCAGCCAGGTGGGAAATGAAGAATTAAGCCAAGTATCAATCTCTGGGACACTTGGTCATTAATTCAGTGCTAGATCCGTCTCCCTGTAGTGTCATATGGCCTATAGCCCACTTCTCTTCATTTTGTCCTCAAAGCATGAAAGACTTTGTCATACACTTTGCTAAAATACTGGCATCCCATGTGTACAGCATTCCTCTGAAAAATTCTTATCAAAATACCTTGTCAAAAAAAGAAACGACAATTGTCTGGCATGATTACTATCTTCAATTGCTGTTTTCAGTTGATTAGTAAATCCCTGCCAAATCCCTCGTGAAAAAGAGAGAGAGAGAGAGAGAGAGAGAGAGAGAGAGAGAGAGAGAGAGTGCTTTCAGCTGTTATTTGGGAGGTTTTAGATAAACATCTAATTCTCAACTTTGAATTCACTGTATCTTCTCTTTTTTCCCTGTTGACTGAACTTCTGACACCTCCCATCTTGCTGCCTTGCTCTGTTTCATTGTTTCCTTTTCCCCTGTGGGAGAAAAACTCTGGACTCTTCATTTTAACCAAAATGGGGATTTCTTGGTTTGTTGTTTTTTGTTTTTTTTTTGTGAGACACTCAGGGTTAAGTGATTTGCCCTGGGTCACACAGTTATGAAGCGTCAAATGTCTGAGGTCACATTTGAACTCAGATCCTTCTGACTCCAAGGCCAGAGCTCTATCCACTTTGCCACCTAGCTGCCCCCAAAATGGAGTTTTCTTAATAAGTATGTGTAGCATCCTATCAGGGGCTAATTTCCCAACTCCCATTCATATTGATGAGTCTGGTCCCCAAAAGCAGCTAAGTACTCCCCTCCTCGGGGCTCTAGGCACAGCCTGAATAGAATGGGGTTTTTATTACAGTTGCTCACAAGTCCCCACCACTGTGCAACCCATTGATTATCAGCAAGAGCTAATTAGTTTCCCCAATGCTGTAAGATCACTCTCTTCACAAGGTCCTGGGGAATAAATATGACCAAAGTATAAACTCAAAAGTCCTGGTTTCTGGAAATCCTTTTCTCTTTTTACGGAGTCCCCATAAACTTCTCTTCAGGTGTAACTCTCTTTTGTTGTTCAGTCATTCAGTTGTGTGTGCATCTTCATGACTCCTTGGACCATGTTGTCCTTGGAGTTTTCTTGGCAAAGATACTGGAGTAGGGGGCAGCTAAGTGGCACAGTGGATAGGCACCAAACCTAGAGTCAGGAGGACCTGAGTTCAAATGTGGCCTCAGACACATAACACTTACTAGCTATGTGATCCTGGGCAAGTCACTTAACCCCATTACCTAGCCAACAACAACGACAAAAAGATACTGGAGTGGTTTGCCATTTCCTTCTCCAGTGGATTAAGGCAAACAGGGTTAAATGACTGGCCCATGGTCACATGGCTAGTAAGTGTCTGAGATCAGATCTGTGCTCAGATCTTCTTAACCCCCGGCCCAGCACTCTGTCCACCTAGCCACCCCTTATTTTCTTCTGGGCTCCTAGTGTCAGCATCTCTGTAGAGTCCTGAAGTTGCCCTTCCTTGATATCTGGTTTGTCCTCAGCGTGTCCCTCAACTCCTGATGCAGACATTGCCACCAGCCACTGCTGCTCCAGTAGACATGGATACTGATAGTCATTCGAGGTCTTCTGACCTTTCAAAATTCACAAAATTAATTGGTAAAGGAAGAAGAGATCCTTGTGGTTCATAGTCATAAAGGATTTTACATACATTATCTCATTTGAGTTTCACAGTAGCTATGTCAAGTAGGTAATAATATTTAAGGTTTTTTTCATATTTAAGGTTTTTAAAGAGAAATGTTGAAGACTTGGGATCAAGAAGATCTGGGTTCAGATCTTGCCATTGACATACTTAACTAGCTATGTGACCTTGGGCAAATCACTTAATCCTTCTGAGTCTCAGACAATTCTCAAAGATTTATCATTTTTTAAATAGTATTTTATTTTTTCCAATTACATGTAAAGATAATTTTTAACATTCTTTTTATACAAAATTTTGAGTTCCAAATTTTCTCCCTCTCTCCCTTCCCTCCCCCTTCCCTAAGATGGTAAGCAATTTTATATAGGTTATATATGTGCAGTCATGTAAAACGTGTTTCCATAAGAAGAAACAGAACAAAAGGAAAAAAAAAACACACAAAAAAACAAAGTGATCTGCACTTAGGCTCCATCAGTTCTTTTACTGGAGGTGGATAGCTTTTTTCATCAGAATTCATTCATTCTGAACTGTCATTGTATCGCTAAGAAGAGCTAAGTTAATCATAGTTGATCATTGCATAATATTGCTGTTACTGTCTACAATGTTCTCCTGGTTCTGCTTACTTCACTTTGCATTAGTTCATGTAAGTCAAAGATTTATCTACTAAGTCATAGGAAGAATGAAATTCTTTCCATATATCAGTGGAAAGAATTCTTGCCCTGATGAAATCAGAGATCCTTATCACTCAGTCACTCAGCAAGCTTATTAAGAGCTTACTGTGTGCCAGGCCTTATACTAAGGGCTGGGGATATAAGCATCTGGGGCCATCTCCACTCATCCTGATGTATATCTGGCCTCTGAACCAGATGGCTCTGGAGGAGAAAGTGAGGCTGGTGGCTTTGCACAGCCCTCCCTCCCTTAAATCCAGTTCAATTGCATGTCATGGAATCACCTCCATATGTCATAGTCCTCTTCAAGAATGAAGGACAAACAAGAAGAAGGGATATAATGACAAAGCAGAATGGTCCCAGCAGTAGAGACATGCTTACCATTGTAAGCATAAGCTGAATCTCTATTATGTCGAGCTTGCTTCTTTTAAGTAAATCATAAGCTCATCATCTAACTTTCAAAGCTGTCCTGTTTGTCTGTGATTCCTTCTGGCCATCTTTCTGTTCTCTTCATGCACTGGAGTTCAAATTTGGTTCAGAATTCAAATCTCAGTTTTGATAGGTGACCTTGGGCAAGACACCCAACCTTTCTGAGACGCTAAGGCTTTTCTGCCAAGTTCTAGTACAAGGAGAGACTCTTTGGAGGTTGCTCCCACTTGAATGAACTTACAGACTCTTGATTTATTGAACCTGTCTGTCTTAAAGGCTAATGGAAAAATATTTTTTTCTACTTAATATTTAATATCGTACTCCATGTTCAGCTCCTTGCCCCACTCACTGTCACTGGGTCCAGCATTTCATCACTCTCCCTTCCCCAAAAGGACAAAATAGACAGCCTTTTGAAAATGGGCTGCTTCTGTTCAGATTTGAGGGTTGAACTAGGGACTGAGGAAAGAGAGGCCAACACTGGTGATCATTTTTTTCAAATGAAGGATCATAAATGAAGTCATTGATGTTAATATACTGCCTAACTTGTGAATTTCTATTCCATATTTCTGGCCTTTTTTTCACTGTTTAACTTCTTAAATAAGTAGTAGTTCCCTTGCCAGATGTCTCCCTGTAAGTTCTTGAAATCTGGCTTCCATTCCCATCACTCTCAGCTGAAACTAGCCTTTTTCCAAGATCACCAGGGACTGTCTTCATGTCACCTTTGACACAGATGAGCCTCCTTTGGCAGTTGTGATGCTGTATTAGTCTGGCTCTCATCTACCTCTTTGACCACTCCTTTGCTGGTCTTTCTTTCTTGTCCTGCCCCCATGGGCATTCATTGTCCAAGGCTCGGTCCTTGACTCTTTGCTCTTTTCTCTCTTTATCAGGAGCTGTTAGGCTGTCATTGGAGCTATTGATACAGTCCCACACCTCGTGCTCAAATCCCACCTTCTACAGGAGGCCTTTCCCATTCCTCTTCTACCCAATCTCCCACCTACCCCCACACACTGTTGGTTCCTTCCTTCTGAGATTACCTTACTTCTATACTGTTTGTGTCTTGTATATGCATAGTTATTTGCAAGTTGTCTTTCCCATTGGCATGTGAGCTGCTCGAGGGCAGGGATTTTGTTTTTGCCTTTTGTGTGTGTGTGTGTGTGTGTGTGTGTGTGTGTGTGTCCAGTGCTTAGCATGATGCCTAGAATATAATAAACATCTAATAAATGCTTATTGACCAACTGGCTCATCCTAGCCTTCTTCTGTGAGTCTTTCTTACTATTTTCATTCCTATTTCCATGACAAGGCTTCGTTTTTTCTCTAACCTGGAATGGCCTCTCTTCCCTCTTCCACTTCTCCAGCCCTGCATCCTTCAGGACCTACCTCTAGATCCATTTCTTGCGTGAAGTCTTCTTTACTTTGACTACCCATTGTTGATCAGTCTTAAAACTCCTTGCAACACTACACAATGACCCACTTAATTCTATATCATTTTATATTACTGATGAATTGTTTCATCTGTATTAACCTTTCGTCTCTAACTAGGATGTCTCCTTGAGGTGAGAATCATTTCTTGTTATTTCTCTGACAGCTATAGTGCCTCCCAGAGGCCTCAGCTCGAAGTAGTTGGTACTGGGCATAGACTGACTTGATTTAGTCTCACTTTGCCTCGTGTTTCTGTTTTTCCAGGCCTTCCTAGCTCAGTGTGACACTGTTGAAAGAAGTATTGGACAAGAAACGGATAAGCTGAAATCAAAAAATCTGGCCCTGGCTGAATGAGAGTTCTGTATAAATTAGAGAGTATGATTGCTCTGAACACAAAGAAAAGTTTACTCTATTTTGTAACACATGCCTACCTTTATTTTTAGATCATGCCTGGTTTTACCTGTGCCCATTGGGAGTTGTTTTCTAAATATCAAATTTATTCCTCAAACCCATTCTCCATAGGTCCTTGAATTGTTTTTGTGTGTCCTGATCCCATAAATTAATTCTTTTACTCTAGGTAGTTATCCCTTTTCAAGCCTCCAGGGGGAAACAGCATTGCAGGATGATGGGAGAAAGTTTTTTTTCTCCTCCCCTAAACTGAATATAAATCAGAGGTGGCTATTTGTGAGCTTTGTGGGATCAGTGGATGCTTTGTTTTGTCTCCTGTTAGCCTCATACTTAACTGGGGAGGTACTGACTAGGTCACATTGAAACTCTAACTCCTACACTCCCACATAGATTACTGAAAAACAGCTGGTTAATAAGTCACGTGAGTGGGGCTGACAAATCAAACCAGGTGTTTGGTGCTGCAAGCAGACACCCTTTTAACATTTTTCAATGGGCTGTGTTGGTGTATTTTGTATACCACTGATAAAGCATTAGGAGTTGTTATTCCACGTGGCCCTAGCACAGTGGACAAATGGATTATGGGAGCTAATAATGCACAGAGGCCAATCCCCAAGGTCTAGAAGCCTGGTTCCAAACGGGAATTTGGGAGAGGGTAGAGAATGTTAAGTGTGGTGACCTTTGGAGCTAAAAAAAGAGAAATTGGGCAGGTACTAAGAAACATAAAAGTCTCAGAAGCAGGCAACATGTATTTTCTTCAAGGATATCTCTTTTGTTTCAATCTGTATCTTTTGTGATATATGTTTTCTTCTCATTATTATATTATTTTTATTATTATTATTACAATACAAGTTCAAACAACATGCCAAATGAACAGATCTGGGAGCTTTTCTTATTTACAAATAAAACAATAATCATTGTATATTATTGTAGTCTGAGTCCATTTTTAATGAATAACAGCAACCTTATTTGGAAATTGTCCTCCTTTTGCCTTAAGTTGGTGCTACCTGGCTACCAGGACCAGTGTGTGTGTGTGTGTGTGTGTGTGTGTGTGTGTGTGTCTGTCTGTCTGTCTGTCTGTGTCTGTGTATTTGTGTGGGTGTGTAGGTGTGTGTATGTGTCTGTATGACTGTGGGTGTGGGTGTGTAGGTGTGTTCTGGAGCTTGGGAAATTGCTGCAGGCAGATTTGTGAATACCAGATTAAGTTAGTGAAAGGGCAAGAGGAAAAGCCTACATTTCGAAAGACTGATTTAGCTACAACCAGGTTTGATAATGCTAGTGTAGATAAGGTTTTTTTTCATAATGAACACGTAGCCCCAACAGAGTTTTCCTAACCTAAAAATCTGCTTACCTTCACTTTCTCTACTGGTTGTGCAAGTTGTATAGACTAATCTGAGTTAGTCGATTTTGTTGTTGCATTTTGATTCTAATCTCCAGATCTGGCAATGGGGTTTGTTAAGAGAGACTGAGCTGGGGAAGAGGTGGAGGGGAGGGCTGGAGTGTGGGGTGCAGGAAGCTGGAGGTTGTGCAATTGGAGTGGAAATTCATTTAGCCCAACAGAGGGCTTTGTTGATTTTTTTTTTTTAAACTAGATTAACCCGTTGTTGGAGCTGATTCTACAGTTTAGTCAACCTCATTGTGTGTAGATACACCTTGATTTATTTTGCATGGAAGCAGTAAAAGGCAAGGAGGGAGCAGTTGAGGTTCTTGGAAACTGGTAGCCTGAGAGGAAGACCAAGGAAATCAATCCATGCCTTTAATAAGGCTTAGTTTTTGCTTCCTGCTCTCTTCTTCCTCCACATTCTCTAAAAATTTTTTTAAGATTAATTTAGCAATTATCAACAAACATTTCAAAGAACAACAAAAAGAAAATTGTATGTAAAATTATGAACTGTCACATTTTAAACATATACATAGATACGTGTGTATGCACTAAATTTAACAAAGTAGTAACAAAATTGTCCTGTTTGTGTCTCCTTCTAAACTCCCCTTTTTGTTTTCTTCTTTGTATTTTTCTGTTTTACTGATGCTCTTTTCTCCCTTTTTTCTTTTTGTATTCCTGTCACTTCCCACTAACTTATCTTCTCTTCCTCAAGCCTCCCTTGAAACAAATAAATACAGGTAAGCAAAACAAATCAACACATTATATCTCATTCTGCACCTCTAGTCCACCACTTCTCTGTCAGCCAGTCCATTGTTATTGTTTGTCCTTTGTTCTTGAAGAGGGCCAATGACATCGAGAGGGAGATGTCTTGACTTACCCATGAATTGGATTTAAGTGAGGCAGAGCTGCGAAAAGTCGTTAGCCTCACTCACTGTCTTCTCCAGAGTCTTCAAAGACCAGTGGCAAGACAAAAGTCAAGACAACTGGTGATGATCCAGGAGCTTATCTTTTGTAAGCTACATAAGCATTTATTAAGTGCCTACTCTGTGCTAAGTCCTGTGCTGAGTGCTGGGGATGCCTGCCTTCAAGGAGCTTGCGGCTATGGGGGAGACAACAGGCAAACCAACATGTACAAACAAGCTAAAACAGGATAAATAGGAAATAATCAAAAGAGGAAAAGCGCAAGAATTAAGAGGGGTTGGCAGGTGGCTCACTTCTTTCATCATGATTGATCCCTGCATTGATCAGAGTTCTGAAGTCTTCCAACTTTGTTTCCTTCGTTGAATTTATCCCGTTTAGGTATCGTCTCTATATTAACAGCTCTCAAAAATCCCTAACTCCAAATTTAGCTTTCCATTCAAGCTCCATATCTTTAAATGCCTAAAGGACATCTTTTGAATGTACTACCTTACAAAAAATGCTAAAGACATTTTTTTTTAGCTATATGATGGCAGGGGGAAAATTTTTTTAAAGGGATAGAATGACTTAAAATATAACAAAAATTAAATTAAATTAAATTAAAAAATAAAAGGGATAGAATAGCTGGGGGAGGGGGAGGATAGATTATTATAATGGGTAATGAAGAGAATGCAAAACTAATCAATTATTTTACTTCTGTTAAACACTCTGCCAAGGAGAATGGTCATCCACCTGGAAAGGGTAGAACAAAAATGGTTAAATGGTTAACCAGAGAACTGGAACTCATGGAAATTGAGACTGAAAGAACACCTAACCGCCTTCATTAAGTTCAAGTCACCAGACCTAGATGAATGGAAATAATTTACAGATGTGACCACTAATCTGTTTGTTAGTGACCTTTGAAGAAATATGGAGGATGGGAGAGGTGCCCTAGTATTGGAGGCTAATGTCCTGATTTAGACAAAAATGTTTTTCAGTTAAAATTTTATTTTTTATTCTCTCTCCCATCTCCCTCCTCTTTCCTATCCCTATTAGGAAAAAGAAAAGAAAAACAAAACCCTTTATAACAAATAGTAAAATAAAACAAATTCTCACACTGGCCATGACCAAAAAATATGTCTCATTCAGCACCCTGAATCCATCACCTCTCTGTCAGGAGGTGGATAGCATGAAAGCATGCTTCATCAAGAGTACTCTGGAATTATGATTGGTCGTTGCATTGATCAGTTCTTAAGCCTTTCAAAGTTGTTTGTTTTTACAATGTTGTTGCTGTATAAATTCGATACTAAAGTTTCCACCCTTTCCTTCTGATTTTGTTCGCTGGAGCCAAAGTCTCTTCTACAGGACAGACCTTCAAATACTTGACCATAGTTATGGCCTTTCCTCATCTTCACTCCTTTGAGAATGAATTCAGTTATACACAGACCTTTTCTCTTGAATCCATTGCCGCTTTATCATATGGCCACTCTTGTACTGCCAAGCTTCAGTCTTGGCTTAATCTCAACATCCACTTCTTTTGCTATACATGCCACTGGACCATGCTGGAGAAAACCACAAAACTGTGCAGACTGGTGCCACTACAATTTTATGTTACATAAGCTTACTTTGGCAATGCAATCTTTTTACACTTTCCTAATTTATTCCCCATCTCATTTGCCACAGTGGCTTTTCCAAATCTTTTCATCCCTCCCCTAAATCTCCCATGACTCTTCCTTTCCCTACTCTCTCAACTGAGAATTTTGCCTCATGTTTTACCGAAAAAACTGAGGCTGTCTGAATGCTCTCTTATACTCTCTTCCACATTTCACATGACCCAGATGCCTTCTGACATTATCTCCCTTTTGCCCCATCTCACATGAAGAGGTCACCCTTCTCCTTACCAAGGAAAATACATGCACAAGCGATCCCATTACATCTCTTCTCCAGAAGATTGCCCCATCAATCGTCCCTTGTCTCTCAATAATTTTTAGTCTTGTCTACTGACTGCTTCCCTACTGCTTACCAACAGGCTCATGTCTCCCCCAGTCTTCAAAAAGTCCTCACTTGATTCATCCGTTCCTACTAGCTATCAGTCTATATCTCTTTCTTTGTGGCTAAAGTCCTTGGGAAGGCTGCCTACATTGATTAATGCTTCCATTTCATTTCCTCTTAACTCTGCAGTCTGGCTCCCACCCTCATCATTCAACTGAAACTGCTTTCTCCAAAGTTATCAATGCTCTCTTAATTTCCAAATCCAATGGCCTCTCATTCCTCGTCCTTGACCTCTCTACCCACCTTTGACATTATTGATTACCCACTTCTCTTTGATACTCTTTTCTCTCTAGGTTTTTATAACATTAATCTATCCTGGTTTTCCTCTTACCTGTCTTGTGGCTCCTTTTCAGTTTCCTTTGCTTGGATTTTCTTTCTTTTCTTTTTTTTTTTTTTTTTTTGGTGAGGCAATTGGGGTTTAGTGACTTGCCTAGGGTCACACACAGCAAACACAGTGTTACGTGTCTGAGGTCGGATTTGAACTCAGGTCCTCCTGACTCCAGGGGCGGTGCTCTATCCACTGCACCACCTAGCTGCCCCCCTTTGCTGGATTTTCAACTAACTCTTGATCACCAATCATGGGTGTCTCTCAAGACCCTGTCCTGGGTCCTCTTCTCTATCCCTTTGTACTGTTTCACTTGGTGATCTCATCAGCTCCGATGAATTAAATGATCTATGCTAATGATTCGCACATCTTCTTGTCTATCCCTAAGCTCTCTATTGCCTCACATCTGCCTATTGGATATCTCAAATTGTGTGTACTATAGACAACTTAACACCCAACATGTCCAAAACAGCTCATTATCTTTCCCCAAGCCCTCTTTCTAATTTTCTTATTATTGTCAAGGACACCACCATCCTCCCATCCTGCACCATGTTGGTGGTATGGGCCCTTGCCTCCAGACCATCCCTGGACTATTGCAATAGTTTTCTGGTTCATGGTCCTTTCTCAAGTCTCTCCCCACTCCAATTTCACCCTCCATTCAGCTGTAAATCAATCTTCCCAAAGTTCAGGCCTGACCAACGTCTCCCAATCACCTCTAGGATCAAATATCAAATTCCCTATTTGGCATTTAACATCCTTCATAACCTGGCTCCTTCTTACCTTTCTGGTCTTCTTATATATTGTTGCCCTCCACAAGATCTGTAAGCCAGTGACCCTAGCCTCCTTGTTGTTCCTTGAACAAGACATTCCATTCCTTGGCATCACGACTGTCCCTTACAAATTAGAGTCTCTCTTTTCTTAACTCCATCTCCTGGCTTCCTTCAAGTCTCATCTAAAATTCCGTCTTCTTCAAAAAGCCTTTCCTGGTCCCCCTTCATGCTAGTTCCCTTCCCTTTAAGACTAAGTATAATTTATCCTGTATATATCTCATTTGTACATCGCTATTTGCATGTTGTCTCCCCACTAGACTGTAAGCTCCTTGTGGGCCCGAAATTCTCCTTTGCCTTTTTTTGAACCGCTAGATCTTAGTATAGTGCTTGACACCTAGTAGGTGCTTACCAAATGTTTATTAACTGACTGACTACAGTATGCTTCCCTTAATGCAGCCCAAGGTCACATTAGCCTTTTTGTATGCTACATCACACTGCTGACATTGAGCTTGCCCTTAAAATTCCAGTACCTATTTCAAACCAACTGTTTTCTAACCATGTCTCCCCCCTTTTTTGCTTGTGAAATTGGTTTTTTTTTTGTGCCCAAATGTAAGACTTTACATTTATTAAATACTCTATATGACATAGGACCATCGACATGAGGACTAAATTAAGGTCGTAGTGTCAATCTATATATTAAATTTTAGTAAAGTTTAATTTTTTTGAGATAAAACTAAATATAAGTAGAATTTCTCATATTTTATTTTTCAATCTTTTCTACAAGAATTACATGATAAACTTTATCAATGCTCCTCTGAAATCTAGGTAAACTAGACCTATAGATTATGCTGATCTACTAGTTTAGTAACCTTTTCAAAAAAGGATGTAAGGTCAGTTAGACATTATTTGTTCTTGATGAAGTCATGTTGATTCTTTGTAATCACCAATCAGTAAATCAACAAGCATTAGACACATTTAAGTGTGCCAGATACTTGTCTTTCAAGATATTCACCAGCCATCTCATTAATAATCTTTTCTTGAATTGGTGTGAAGCCTTTTCTCTTTCCTGTTTTGAAAACTTCGACAACATCCCTAGATTGTGAGCTCCATGAAGGCAGGGACTGTCTTTTGCCTCTTTTTGCATCCCCAGCACTTAGCACAGAGCCAGTCATTTAATAAATATTTATTGTCTGACTGATTTGTTTTAATTGATGGCCCAGGAGAGCCATATTGTCAGGACAAGAAAAATGAAAGTAAATTGACCAAGCTCATTCAGCATCTAGCAAAAGAACTCTTGGTTTTTAAATAATGTTTTTCAAGTTTTTAAACACTTGGTTTTTAAAGACTGTTTTTTCAAGCAGAGGGACAGCTAATGGAATTTGTAGCCACAGAAATAAATGGAGTGATGTTGATGGGGGCTCCTATGTGGTGTTGATAGACTGGATATAGGCTGCTAACCCCACCATGCCTTATGACAAGCCTGTATCAAGGGCAATTGTATCCCATACTCTGGACTGAGCCCCACCCAATGGTAACTGGCTTTAGCTGTGGGTCTCATACACTATACAACTATAAATAAATAAATTCAATAAATAAATAATACTAGTAAAAATGCTAGAAAAACTGTACTATGAAATTCAGAATCTTCAGTAAGGACTATTCTGTTCCCCTCAAGCTTTCAGAATCCCTATGAGCTCCTACCCCCACTTAGCAGTCCTAAGCCATCCAAGTCTCTGCATATAAACTTGAGGGACCCTAGGGCCAAGACCAAGGTTTCTGGTTATCCTAGCTGAGGGGACCAAAGGCCATCCACCTGAGTCACAATGTCCTGGAAAGGGTAGAGGGAGTAGCTAAATATATAAGGGATTGCTAACCATGGGCAGCCAGGTAACTATCCTAGCAGGAGACCCCCATAGGTACATAGGGGCACTTCATTTTCCATTGGCATTTTAGGGCAGACTGCTGAAGGGAGGGGCATCCTTGCCTAGTTGGAACAGAGTGGAAGACCCCCTATCAAGTCAATTGACAAGCATTTACTAAATGGTTTACTATGTGCAAGCGTTGCTAACTAATTAAACTTACACTTATCAATGAATGTAACCAAACTTTGTTCATCAAAGTGTGCAGACAATGCCCTCTAAGAATAAACTACCAACATACTGTCTCAGAGGTTCTGATGGGCTTCTTTCATACCAGACTCAACAGTGTCCTTCTCTGCCCTAGCTGGAGGTCATGCATCTTTTCTCTGGGGTGGTGTTCTGGCAAGTCTATGTAACATCTGTCAACCAGTCGGCACTGCCTTCAAGCCAAGATGGCCTTAGCCGAGTCTCAAGTACAGGAAATACAAGAACCAGTACTAGTGAGGCCTCTGGGCCTCTGGTATGTTTTTATATTTTTAACTATGAAACTATGTTTACCACAAAATGTGATTTGTAGTTTACTTTAAAATTACTGATAAACAATATCATATTGCTTGCATTCTCAAGGGGTGGGGAGAGAGTGGGAGGTAGAGATTAAATGAATGCTAAAAAATTTTTTTAATGTAATTGAGAAACATTTAACAAAATAAATAAAAATACATTTTAAAATTGCTTATAAAGTTTCGTATAATATTTTTTCAAATGTGTTTTCAGAGGGTCCATATGTGCTTATGAGCTATATGCATGTTTTTTAACTACATCATAACACACAAGTTCTTATATTATTGAAAAACAACTTGTAGAAAAGCAACTTAATCAAAACAACTCAAACACAAAATGGAGGCTTAAGCCAAAATGGCATCATTTATACTAAGTTGACAAACTATTTTATTAAGGTAATAAAACATTTTCACTACATTATCATTTATAATGAACTAGCAAACATTATATATCTTATATCTTACTGAGGTACTAAAACTTATTCTCACCATAGCCAGGCAATGTACCAGACTCTGGGGTACAAAGAAAGACAAAAACAGTCCTTGATCTCAACAGGATAAATGACTGGATGTAAGATAAAGACAGAGTAGATAGAAGGTCATATGAAGGTGCTAGAGGCTGAGGGGACCAGGAAAGGCCTCCAGCTGAAAGTAAGATATGCACTGAATCTTTTTTTTTTTTTTTGCTTTTTGGTGAGGCAATCAGGGTTAAGTGACTTGTCCAAGGTCACACAGCTAGTAAGTGTCAAGTGTCTGGAGCCAGATTTGAACTCAAGTCCACCTGACTCCAAGGCAGGAGCTCTACCTACTGCGCCACCTACCTGCCAGAAGAAGGAAGGAAGCCAGAGAAAATAAGAGGTAGAGGTAAGAAGGCATGTCATTCCAGGCATGGTGGACAGCCAGGGCAAAAGCAAAAACAAGAGATGGAGTGTCTTTCTGGTCTTCAATTTTGTCCATGTTCAGTCATTCATTCAGGGGACCATTAAATGGTCTCTTCCCTCCCCAGAACCAATTTACTCTTACCTTCAAATGCTTTCTTTTGATGAAGAAGCACTTAGTATATTCTCAATTCTGAAATGCAAGTAGTGTCCTATTGTGATAACCTCTGAACTTCATGAAGTTCCTTTGATGGTTTCAATGACAATACTCATGTTAATTCTGCATGCTGATATTATTGTTCTTTATACAGAATGTACTTAGTGAGGAAAGGGAGAAGGGACCATATTTCTGAAGCAATTAGAAAAGGTCTACATGGTCTCCTATTGAATGTTTCTTCTTTAGCATACTCCATCCTTTGTAATCTGGATGTCCTGTTTAGTTTTTCTACAATTAAAGGAGAAAAAAACTAATTATAAATTATAAATGGATTACTGTTTTCTCACCACTGTGACTATCATATCATAGAATCATAGCCTTAGAGCTAAAAGGAAAATATTAGAAATTCTCTAAGTGCTCTAGCCACCAGCCCCATTTTTTATATAAGGAAATTTAGATCCAAAGAAGTGACTTGTGCATAGTCACATGAGGCCAGGGTTGGAATTTGCATGTAGGTTCTTTTACTCCAAAATCACTGTTTTTTCTAAGGTCCCATACTACCTATCTACATTTATAATAATATAGCAATTTTGTCTTTAATATATCTATTTTTAACAACTAGCTCTCTCTAAAGGCAATATGGCATAGTGGATAAGAGTGCTGAAGTGTGAGTCAGGAAAACCAGAGTTTGAATCCTGCTTCTAACATTTACTATGTGACCCTGGGTAATTCTCTGAGCAATTCCTCAGGCCACTCTCTAAGACTAAGTTACTGAGAGGATCCTTTGATATCTGAGAGTTTTTCATAGCTTTATCCAATGTTGCTTTGATGAACTTGAATTCATGAAGGCTATGTGCCAATGGATATCCTATCAAGCTATAAAGGCTTAGAGTGCAGATCTGGCAATGAATAATGATCTAGGAACCAGCCTGTTTAAACACCATACCAGGTAATGAGTGTTTTTTAGTCATAGGGATTCCTAAAACCATCTACTAAAGAAGCCTAGAAGGACTAGGGTCTGCATTGCTGGAAGGAATGCCCACACTGATGAAATCATGGATCTTTTAAAGTATTGATACATTCTTATTCTCCCACAAATATAAAAGCAAAATTGAAGCTCTGTTCTGGGTGACATGACCAACAAGACAGAGGACCAGACATTTTCTCTAGTCATCACAACTTCTCAAATCTCATCTCTCCAAAACAGGAATTATATACAAGAGATGAAGCAATTTCAGCTGTCACCATGCCATAGATTGCTAAGAACCCAAACAAGGTAAAAAGTCAATGTATTAACAACAGAGAAGAATCCTTAATCCCTAATGTACTTATTAAGCACCCCTTTTTTCATCATCCATCACACTCCCAGCAGAAGGGCTATATAAGGTGTGTAACAGAACTCAATTCTACAGCCTTACCCACACCTCCCTCTAATGCTTCAGAGATCCAAATAGTAGAAATTTACTCAGACATCAAGAACAGTGTGGCAGCTCTTTGTGCTGCAGCAGAGTTTAGTCAGAGAATGAAGTAACAGAGGGGAAAGGGGGCAAGACACATGTGTGCAACTGTGTGGCAATCCAATGTTAGAGGGAAAGAGCCTAGCATTCACTGGGGCCAGTTCTGTCCTCCCAGAAGTCACTTAGGGCAGAGACCAAGACCAGTGAAAGTGAATTGCCTAGCATGGGAAGAGGCTGAGATGCTCTGAGATCCAGTCCTCTGAGAAACTGCCATCAAAGAGGAGAGAGTCAGAAATGAGCAATAGGGAAAAAAATAAGGAAAGAAATACTCAAGAGATCTCAGGAGGAAGAAAACTCAGCTAAAGACCTTGAGCATAAGCAGATATGGCCTCCAAAGCAAATAAAAGAGTTCAGGCATCTAAGAATAACTATTGCAAGACAAAGGAAAAGAAATCAACACCAGATCAGGCAAAGGATCCTATGGATTCCCAAGAAAGCACGCACAACAAGATGTTCCTGAATGGTTTAAAAGAGAAACAAGAATCGTAAAAGCAGAATTTATGGCCTGCACAGCAGAAATAATTGGCAGAATAAAAAAACTTGAATCCACAATGGCAAGTTTCATCAAAGAAATAAAAGTTAGGATAACTGACTGGGAGTGCAAATACATTGAAATCAAGGACAACATGGAAGAAGAGAAGTAAAAGCTATAAAATTAAAATGAAGCATCATTTGTGCACGAGAAAAACATATTGATCTCAAAGACAGGATGCATAGAGACAAAGATGATAAGGTCTTCCATAAGAACACAAGAATTCAAAAAACCTGTAATATAAGAAATAATACAAGGAAACTGCCTAAGACTTCTGAACACAGATAACAAAATGTCAATTGAAAGAATCCATCCATTGTCTCCAGAAAACAAACAAACAAACAAACAAACCTACAAACACCAAGACACATAGTGGTTAAATTTAACAATTCCACTGATAAACAACAAATCCTACAAGTGAGGAGAAAAACCTTCAAATATAAAGGGAAGGAAACCTGAGTGACACAAGACTGTTCTGCACCCACCTTTACCCACAGGAAAGAATGGAATGTGTATCAAAGAGCAAGATGTACCCTGCAAATCTAAATCTAACTGTAAATGAAAATAGATACATGTTTAATGAAAAAAGTGTCCAAAACATTCCTAGAATTAAAACTGGACCTGAAGGAATTATTTGTTTCTCAAATACTCCAGATAATAGAAACACAATAAGGCAAACAAATACAGCAACTGAGGACAAAAAAGAAGACCACTAAGAGGTTTCTTTCTAAATGTACATGAGGCAGCAAAAGTGAAAGCAGAAGTCAAACAGAAGTGATGATGGAGGAACAGGCTTGAAACATCATAGACTAAATCTCACAGCACCCTGCTTAGTGAATAATTTTTTTGACAGGATTAATTTACAGAATGGGAGAGTGAATAAAAAGGGAGAGGGGAAGAAGAAGATAGAGGGGAATGAGAGATGTACCCTAATCAAGGCAAGAAGGCAAGGAGGCAAAGGGAGGGGTTGAAAAAGGGGAAAAGAAAGCTGGAAATTTTGTTTTAGTGGTTGGGGGGGCATCACTGGTGAATGCTTCTATGGGAGAAAAAAGATATCCTACAAGGGGATTTGGGGACCTTCCAATTGGTACAATCTGTAGAGATTTAGTGCTTAGAAAGCTCTCCTCCTGCCTCAAGGGGAATCAGACATCTTGGGAGGAACTGACACCAGAAGGGTGATGGGGCATGGACACAGGAGGGAGATCTTAAGGGAAATAAGGAAAAAAAATCAGGGAAATAGGAAAATTCTACAATGGGGCAACATCTGTATCACCTACAAGAATTATTTCTATGGCCTCCTTCAAAAAAAAGGGGGGGGGGGAACAAAAACTACAAGGCAATAACACAGAAATTGTTTGGAAGACAGATCCCAAAATAAGTACCTTGGAAGCTTAATTCTATGAAGAATAGAGACTAAAAAAGGACTAAATAAGTCTGAGGACTATTAATCAAAGAATGAAAGTCTAAAATAGAAAAAGAAGATAAATAATGGACTGAGGAAAAGAAATCCTTTTTAGAAAAAGGTACAAAACTGGGACACTAATTTCTGTTGGTGGAGTTGTGAACTAGTCCAACCATTCTGGAGAGCAATTTGGAATTATACCCAAAGAACTACAAAACTGTTCATACCCTTTGATCCAGTAATATCACTGCTAGGTCTATATCCCAAAGACATTTAAAAAAAAGAGAGAGAGAGGGAGAGAGAGAGAGAGAGAAAGAGAGAGAGAGAGAGAGAGAGAGAGAGGGAGAGAGAGAATGACCTATTTGTACAACAAAAATATTTATAGCAGCTCTTTTTGTGGTAGCTAAGAATTGGAAATTGAGGGGATGTCCATCAATTGGGGAATGGCTGAACAAGCTGTGGTATATGATTGTAATCAAATATTATTGTGCTATAAGAAATGAGAAGCAGGATGATTTCAGAAAAACCTGGAAAGATTTACATGAACTAAAGCAAAGTGAAGTGAGTAGAATCAGGAGAACATTGTATATAGTAACAGCAACATGATATGATGAAGAATTGTGAAAAACTTAGCTATTCTTGGCTATACAATGATCCAGGACAATCCCAAAGGACTAATGATGAAGCATGCTATCTGCCTCCAGAGAAAGAACTGATATTGATTGAATACAGACTGAAGTGTGCTCTTTTTCTCTTTCTTTCTTTCTTTTTCTTTTATTCAAGTCTTCTTGTACAAAATGACTAATAGGAAAATGTATTACATGATTGCACATGTATAACCTATACTTGATTGCTCACCATCTTAGGGAGAGGGGAGGGGAAAGGGAGGGAGGGAGAGAATTTGGGACTCAAAACTTTTAAAAAAATATTTTAAAATTGTTTTAACATTTAATTGGGGAAAAATAAAATATTACATATTTTTTAAAAAAGAAAAAGGTCAGAAAATGAAAATTTTAAAACCTAATGAACAAGTTTAAGGAGAGGAGAGAAAGGAGAATTCTACTTGACTGTTACCTGACAGAGAGAAAAGAGAGGAAGAAGTAAATAATTAGATAAAAGCAACCAAGAAAAAGTAATAAGCAAAACTCAAGCTTAGAGAAAAGGGTAACAGAAGAGAGGAGGGGAGGACTTGAGCGTGAGAACAGTATTGTTTTCAAATAGATTAAGAATCTGTAGCTCTGTAATATTTTTCAGTGCTTCATGAGTCACATGTTTTTTATGGAAATGTAACAGTGAATTATAGATTTTGAAATGCTAAACATAAATAGAGGAAATTCCTGTATTGGGTAGGAGGATGGACTAGATGACCTCTAAGGTTCCTATATTCTATGCATTGACTGATGATTCTATATCATTGCATTGCATATTATAACATTCACTAGCTTTATACTCATGATAAGTATATATTAGTAGAGATGCTGATTTTGCTTTGCCAATTAAGTTTAATCAATAGATCAATAATAAACTTGCATTTATTAAACACCTATGTGCCAGGCATTGTACCAAGTACTGGGGGTGCAAAGAAAAACAAAAAAACAATCCCTGCTTTCAAGAAGCTCACAGTCAAACGGGGAGGACAACTTGGAAACAACTATGCACAAACAAGATATATAGAGGACAAATTGGGGATAGTCTCAGAAGGAAGGCAGTAAGATTAAGGAGAAGTGGGAAAAGCTTCTTGCAGAAGGTGGGACTTAAACTGAGACCTAAAAGAAGCCAGGAGAGCCAGGAGGTGGAAGGGTGAGAGTTCCAGGTCTGGAGATACAACAAGTGAAAATGCCCAGAGGAGCTGAGAGATGGAACGTTGTATGCAAGGAACATCAAAGAGTCCGATGTCACCAGATTGAAGAATATGTGGAAGGGAGTAAGGAAAACCAGAAAGGTAGGAAGTGTCCAGGTTATGTAGTTTGGAACTCCAAACAGAGGACTTTATATTTGATCCTGAAGGTAATCGGGAGCTGCTGGACCTTACTGAACTGCGTGGTCAGATCTACACTTCATGAGCATCACTTTGACATCTGGGAAACCATGAGAGTTGGCTTGCCTCAGTTTCCTGTTCTACTTACAACTCTTTGGGTTTATTTTATTTTTATTTTTTAAAAAAATTTCATTGATGCCTTTTGTTTTTATATAAAATTTACTTCCAGCTATACCCTTCTCCACCCCTCCCCCCACGATGAGCCTTACTTTTTCACAAAGAAAAAAAACCTTTAAGCAAAACCAACCAACATAGCAGTCAGATCTGATGGTTTATGGAATTTTCCACACCAAATCTCCTATCTCTGGAAAGAAAAGATGCTTCCAACTATTTTTATTCTTCTCTCCTTGTGAGAAGGCAGCCCTAACCAAGAGTTGACTCCTGACCTAAGCCTCTTAGATTCTAAAGGCAGTAAGTAGCCTTACCTCGGGCAGCCAGAAGGGTTTGGGATTGGCCCAGAACCTGAGATCAGAGGAATCCTGAAGGGAGGATAGACCTATGGCCTTTTTCTGCATAGGATTAGAGTACAGGCAGTTCAGCTGTAACACGAATTTGTTCTGAATTTGTTCCAATGCCATTAATCTATTAGAGAACTTTCCGAGCATAACTTGAATTATGAGTTGGCTTCTGCATAATTTCTTCAAGAGAAATAGCGGGAAGGTGGAAAACTACAACCCTTCACAATCAAACTTCAGGTCTTTGGGAGGTAAAGTGCCACATTTTCATATATCTTCTGGTGAAGCAGGATCTGTGAGTGGAGGAGGACTGAGCCTGGCCACTCCCATTTCTACCACCACCTTCTGCTTAGGTTTGAGGCCACATCCGTGCAGCAGTAGCGGGGTAAGCCCGCCACTACTTATTGTAGTATTCATATATGTCTTAACCATTTAACCTGTAAAAAAACTGCTGTTTTAATTAGGTCTCTGTTTCTTTTTTACATGTCACTGAAGAAGTTTTTGAACATTGTGCCCCTAACTTCATTTTCCTCATAAGCTCTGTAGTTTTTATTGTGCGATTTTGCACAATGTGATGCTTTTTGGGGAACGACTGTATCTTGTCATGGCAGATCTGCCTGTATTTCTTTTAAATTCAGTAAGTCCATCTCTGCAAGGGGAGGGCTTGTTAGTTTCTTTGTCTCAGGACTTACTGTACTATAGGAAGCTATCAGTACATTCTGTTGAAGAAGACCCAAGATTATCAGCCAGTTGGGAAGGTTGGGGTGAAGGGAAGGGGCTGAAGAGGGGGAAAATCGGAAGAGCTTAAATGTCTCCTCTGTGGTCAACTTTTTCTCCCAAATACTTGGGTTTTGTTTGTTTGTTGTTGTAGTTGTTGATGATGATGTTATACAACATGAGTATAATGGAAAGAAGAAGGTAAGATAGATTTAGAGCTGGAAGGGACATTTGAAATCTTCTAGTTCAACCTCTCTTAAGCGGCTCTGTGGATAGAGTGCCAGGCCTGGAGTTAGGAAGATTCATTTTCCTGAGTTTGAATCTAACCTCAGAGACTTACTAGCTGTGTGACCTTGGACAAGTCACCTGACCCTGTTTGCCTCAGTTTCCTCATCTGAAAAATAAGCTGGAGAAGGAAATGGCAAACCACTCCAATATCTTTGCCAAGAAAACCCCAAATGGGGTCATGAAGTGTTGGACACAACTGAAAAACAACAAAAAAGTCCAACATGTCAATTTTTTTTTTATTAAGGTCATTGGGGTTAAGCGACTTGCCCAGGGTCACACAGCTAGTAAGTGTCAAGTGTTTGGTCTGAGGCCAGATTTGAACTCAGGTCCTCCTGACTTCAGGGCCAGTGCTTTATCCACTACACCACCTAGCTGCCCCACAACCTCTCAATTTAAAGATGAAGAAACAGGCCCAAGGGAATCTGTATCTTAGAAAGCATATACAGTAATCCAAACTCCTGATTCAATCAGGGTTAAGACCTGCCCACTATCACACAGCTAGTAAGAGTTGGAGGTCAGATTTGAATTCAGGTTCTCCTGATTTCAAGGCCAGTGCTCTATCCACTGCACCACCTAACTATTCCTACTTAGGTCACAGTGTTTTGAACAGAATGGTTCCTGTGGCAAGGAACAAGTGAAATGTGGGTGTAAGGAGATGGCTTTTCCCCTTGGACTGGATGTGGCTGGGTATGGTATGGAGCAGAAGTGTCAAAAACACAGCCTGAACAACTCTCCAGAGTGAGGCTAAAACCAAGTTAAAATGGAATTGGGAAATACTTAATAAAATAAAATAGATATGCAATAGAACATATATGGTTCTCTAAGTTAGTATGAAGCCAGCAGCAATACTTATGTACTGTTTAGTAGCCCTCATTGTGATTTGAATTTGATACCACTGATGTGGATTATGGAGCAGTACCAAAAGGCTCAGTTCAATGTAAAATTAGAAAGTGAACCTACATTCTTGCAATACACAGTTGGCATTCATTGTTATAGGTCTTCTCATTGGTTCCACAGACAGGTTGGTACGTCTTGGGGCACGGTGGGATTTCCCCCATGTGTTCACAGAGTGGCTGAGGAAAGACGTACATGTAATTCAGAGAGAAAAATTCATTATTTTCACTGGCGTTTAAGCCTCTTTGAAAAGAACTTTGTGGAAAAACTTCTTGATAATTGTTCAACTAGTTTTCAGGAAAAGACTTTACCCCCCATATTCTCTGGAATGCTTAAGAGAGGGGCAAACCCATAAACTGTGAACACTGTCTCTTTTGAGATAGAATCAATCCTCAGATAGATACCCACTTTCTCGATTTCATGTTAAAATTTTCATTCTCGTTGCCAGTTCCTGCCAAATCAGCAGTACTGGGTGACTGGCCCTTACAGAGATAGCTTTAGTGAGATAGAGCCCAAATGTGGGAAGCTAGTCTAAGATTATGGTAATGGTTCTATTACTTCAGCTTCAAAAATTTTTGATTCATCTTTGTGGCTATCACCCACATTGTAGATTGTAATCCCCCTCATGCCTTAGGAGACAGTTTTATGAGTTGCTTTGATTTAAAAAAAAATTGTCCCACTTTTTTGATGAGTCTCCTTAGACTTGAATCTCAAAAAACAGAAAAGTCAAGTCGAGTCAAATCAACAAATATTTATTAAATGCTTACCCATTGGCACATATGCCAGGCACTTTGCTAAGTGCTAAGATACAAAGGCAGGCAAAAAAAAAATTAAAAAACAAAACAAAACAATTTCGGCTCTTAAGGAGCTCACAGTCTAATTGGGGAGAGAATATAACAGTAACTAGGCAGCTAGGTGGCGCAGTAGATAATGCCCTGAGCCTGGAGTCAAGAAGATTCATCCTCAGACATTTATTAGTTATGTCACCTTGGGCAAGTCACTTAACCTTTTTTTGCCTTAATCCACTGGAGAAGGAAATGACAAATCATGCCAGTATTTTGCCAAGACATAATGGCACATGGGGTCACAAAGAGTTAGACACAACTGAACAACAAATATAAATATTAGCTATTATTATTGGCCATCATTAGCTATGTACAAATAAGATATATACTTTATACATTAGAGGTAATCAACAAAGAAAAGCATTAAAAGGGATTAGGAAACATGTCTTTCAGAAGGTAAGACTTAAGCTGAGACCTGAAGAAAGCCAGATGAGCCAGGAGGAGGAGACAAGACCATCATAAGTGAGAAGCAGTCAGGAGACCAGCCTCACTGGACTGCAGAGTATGTGGAGGGGAATAAGGTGTAAGGTATGGTAGGAAGGGGCCAGGTTAAGAAGATCTTTGAAAGCCAAGCAGAGGATGTTAGGTTATAGGAGGTGCTCCTACTATATGCTTAACACATAGTAGGCACTTGATAAATGTTTATTGATTGATAGGAAACCACTGTGATTTACTGAATAAAAAACAGATACAGAATTTAACAGACCAGGCCTCTACACAAAGACTGTCTAGCTTTGTAGGACCCACCAGAGTTTGTGCTCTGTGATTACCTACATACCATGGTGATGAGTAAAGGGTGCAAGGACAGAAGGAATATTTAGCTCTGGTTTGTTTGATAAATGGTGATTATCAATGTAGATAATTTGAGACCCCAAAGTTATCTTGAGGTAGCTGAGGAGGGCTTGAGTGGAGGTAGTGTACCATTATCTTAGGATATTTACTGTGAAAACAGAGGTGAGGATGGAGTGGGACCATTGAGAGGGGTCTTGCTTGTTTGCAATAACTTAAATTGGATTATGCATATTTAGTACTGGTAGCTGGAGGACTGGTACTTATTCCCCTTATAGCTAGATGACTCTGGATATGTTGTTTAATTAAAATTAAATTTAAGTAAATTTTAAAATAAAAATTAAATTTAATTAAAATGTCACCAGATTTTAGGCCTTTTCTAATTGATTCAGAGGTATGTTTCTCTTCCTTTCCCTTTCCAATCCTCTAATGACTGGAAACTCATTATCCTTCTTGAGGGATATAGAATTGTAAGTTCCTAGCAATGAGTTATGTTTATTGGTACTTCTCTTTCTGAACCCTTTCTTTCTAGAATCCTTCATAGAAGGCTGAGTAGATTATTCCAATTTGTTTTAAAGTAGTTCAGGTTCTCACGGTAAGAAGGACTATATGGTGACTTGTAGAGATTTTTGGGTGTGTGTGCACCGAGTCTAGAAAGTGTTTATGTCTGGAATGTGCCTTCAGCAGAGGCTGAACGCCACTTGTCTGGGATATTGTAGAAGGGATTCATTTATTGGTTAATGAGTATGGACTTAGATGACCCTTTTTGACTCTGTCAGACTCTGAGGGCCTATGATTCTCTAAAATCACATTCTAGTGGGATCTCAGGCTTATTCCTTGGAGAAGCATTTATAGGACACATCAAAAAAGATGCTAATTGTGACTTCACACGGATAATTGGTACTACGTTGCTTGCCTTCTCAATGGATGAGGGAGGGATTGAAAGGAGGGAGAGAACTGGGAACTCAAATTTAAAAAAATACATGTTAAAATATGTAAAGCATAATTATTTTTAATAAATATTTTAAAAGATGCTAATTGGTCCCCCTTTCGCTGGTCTCACTGAAATAATCAAGACCCTTGAGGCTGAACAAATCTTCTTCCTTGAGTCCCCTCTCTTTTTTCTCCCTTCTTGAGAAGGATGTAGCATATTGACAAGACAACACTAGCCACTTGAGTTACCAGACGTCTCCATGCTCCATGAACCTAGCACACTTACTGTATTCTCTTTGGGAGAATGTTGTATATACATGGAAATCCAGTGGCCCTCATTCTTTCAAATTACATTGAAGGTCTCCTGAAGGAAGAATAATTCTAAAAACTGAAACCAAGTGGCCTAGGGTCAGCCTGAAACAAGATGGTGGCTGTTGGGTTGTGAATATATCTGTGGATACATATATCTGTGTATATGTATGTATGTGCACGCATGTGCACACACATGTAATATATAATATACACATGTGCATATACATGTATATGTGCATGTGTGTATACACGCACATGTATGTGGACTCTTCACTGTGACTCAAGTAATTGTTGTTCGGTTGTTTTAGTCATATCTGACTCTTCATTGACCCCATTTGGGGTTTTCTTGACAAAGATACTGGAATGATTTGCCATTTCCTCCTCCAGCTCATTTTACAGATGAGGAAACTGAGGCAAATGGGATTAAATGATGTGCCCAAAGTTACAAAGCTAGTAAGAATCTGAGGCTAGATTTTAACTCAGGTCTTCCTGACTCCAGGTTCAGTGCTCCATCCACTGAGCCACCTCCAGGCAATTGCAGAGTCACTACTGTGCATGGTACACAGTAAATGTTTAAGAAATGCTTGTTGGTGGATTGATTTATTCCTAATGATTGCAACTGTACAAAAATGGAGTGAACTGCCTAAGTGGTACTCTCTGTCAGTGGGGGTCTTCAAACAGAGATTGGATGAGACCTTGTCAGGGATATAGCCAGGAATGGGTTGGTAAATATTACTTGGAAAAAATAATGTACTCACAACACACTTCTGAGTTTAGTATGTATTATTAACATTTTCACCAAAACTTTCTTAAGCCTAGACAATCAACAAACAATAATTAAGCCCTGATTTGTAGCTTTTCCCAATTCCCAAGGTGTAAATTTTCGCACATTTGACAGTTGACTCTCACCAGCTTGTAAGACCTGGCTTTAGCCAATTCCTAGATGTAGTAGACAGGATCGATATTTTACTAAAGGATAGACTATGTGCTCTCAGAGGTCTGTAATTCTATGAGTAAGAATACAAGAGATATTAATAGTCTATACAGGGTGCTCTCTCTCTCTCTCTCTCTCCTCTAATAAACAGTCATAGGCAATAAAGATTAATTTGGGGCACCAAAGTTTACTGCTTTGGCATGAACTCTATAGTCTATGTGCATTATCTAAAACAAGCCACTAATTTCACTACACTTTGTTCAATGTAAATCCAATCATTATGAGGAAAAAGGAATACAGGCTTCCTACCCTGACTAAGAGATCCTCTTAACCTCTTTCCCCTTTTCTTGATGTATGTAACCCTACACAAAAATGCGACAGAGCTAGATTACTAGTCATGGTGGCTAATCATTGGACAGCAAAATGAAAGGAGAGAGAAAGAGGAAAAAAGAAAGGAAGACGGGGAGAGAGAGAAAAAGGGAGAGAGAGAGAGAAATTGAGAGGAAGGGTTATTGTTCAGTCATTTCTGACTCTTTGTGACCTCTATGGACCATAACACACCAATACTGTCCATGGTGTTTTCTTGGCAAAGACACTGGAGTGGTTTGCCATTTCCTTCTCCAGTGGATTAAGGGCAACAGAGGTTAAGTGACTTGCCCAGAGACACACAGCTAGTATCTGAGGCCCAAATTTGGCTCAGACCTTCTTGACTTCAGGCCCAGTGGTTTATCCATTGTACCACCTAACTGCCTAAGGGAGGCCAATAGTTCTCTGTAAATTATAAGACTACATTCCATATATAAATGACATTTATGATTTACCAAGCACCTTGCTCATAACTCTTCCTCTCTGACTTTAGGGAGAAAGAGGAACAGTACTCACTTGGTTGCAGATTGGACCAAATTATAGACCCAGACATACCTAGGCTCAGTTTTTACCAAGTGATGGCGGGATGGAAGTGAGTACTCCCCCAGTAACTCTAGGGTGCTGCTTTATTTAATAAGGGAAAACAAAGAAAACCTCACTTGGGTCTAGGTCTGAGTTCAACTTCAAGTGCAAGCACTCAGGCATCACGGAGAAAAAAGTAGCTTCCTACAAGTCCCAACTAAAATCCCTTATTTTACAGGAAGCCTTTCCCAGCCCCTCTTAATTCAAGTGCCTTCCCTCTATAAATTATTTCCTATTTATCCTGTATATTGTTTGCTTTGTCTATATTTGTTTGCATGTTGTCTCTCCCCATTAGATTATAAACTCCTTGAAGGCAGGGACAGTCTTTTGACTCTTTTTGTATCCCCCATGCTTAGCCCGTGCCCAGTACATAGTAGGTACTTAATAAATGTTTATTGATTTTTTTGATTGATTGAACTAGAAGAGAAGCATAGATTCACCCTTCTTACCATTCTCTGAAAAACCACTTCTTTTGCCTTCACTGACTCTCCTGCAATACATGATAAAGTTAGTTAAGATGAAACAGATAAACAAGATGATTCATGGGTTTTTATTGCTGCCCTCTGTAAACTGTAAACATACCCTGTGTAAACTACACAAAATTCAATATGATAAGAGCCAACTTTCCAGTTGACACTAAAATCTGTCATGGACCTTGTACATGGTGAGGATTCAGTAACTATTAATTGAAAGAATTAAGGAATGAACCCTAGTACGTAAAGAAGACTCTGCCTCACCCACAATATAGCCCAGGGACTAATTTGGAGTGAAGTTGGATTCTGTGCTGGGATGTCCCACTGCAAGATGCTTCTGGGTCTATTTGGTTTCGGGGATATCCCAGGGCCTTGAGTTGAACAGGTTGGGACCTTGAGAGAAAAGGTGGGTAAATTCCAATAATGTCAGGCTTTTGGAGATAGTAGCCAGGATCTAATGTCATTTCCGTTCTGGAAAAAGTATAGCTTGTTCCCAGGGCACAAGACAAATCTTAGAATTTCAGAGTTAGTGGGGATCTTGGGGGTCATTGTCCAACTGCAGGCCAGACGTGTGAAATCTCTCCCTTCAGCAGCCTCTGGGTGAAAACTTCAAATTACAAGTAGTACACTAAATACCTAAAGGTTCTCTGGGGAATGTACTTGTGTGTGTGTGTGTGTGTGTGTGTGTGTGTGTGTGTGTGTGTGTACGTGTGGGGTGTGTGACATTGGCTCTCTCTGGTACTCAACAGAATTTTTAAGCTTAGAGAGGGACATTTTGGTACCACAGGCAGAATGTCACTTTAGCCCATTCCATTATATGCTACTTTGTTGTTGTTCAGTCCTGTCCAACTCTTTGTGACCCCATGGACTCCATGGGGTTTTCTTAGGAAAGATACTGAAGTAGTTTGTCATTTCCTTCTCCAGTGTATCCCCATTTTTATAGATGAGGAATGGAGGCAGATAGCAGTTAAGTGACTTACCCAGGGTTGCACAGCTAGTAAGTGTCTGAGGCCGGTTTGAACTCAGATTTTCCCATCTCCAAGCCTGTTGCTCTGTCCACAGCACCACCTAGCTGCCCTGTGCTAGTAGCTGCGCTTATTTGCTGCCTGCTTACCATGTGGTGTTCAAAGCCATAAGCTCAGGGTAACTAAGGCTTTGTCTGAAGGTGCTGTTATCCAGGGGGTATATTTCCTCCCTGTGGCTACTCACACCTCTACCCATGGTCTGCCACCAGCCCCTACCTACCATATCCCAGGATCTTATTGCCATGTCAAAACATGATGCCATCATGAGGCCTGCATTCCTGCCAACTCCCATGGATATAAGTAAGGGTCAGACTTTACCTTATACTAGCATGGTTGTACCTGTGGTTGGGCTGTCCTCTTTGCTTCTGCCTACCCTTGCTCATCCTTTCCCACTCCCACCCCCAGCTCAATTCTTTTTGTCCCAGATAATAACATTCTTAGTTATGGTCCAGTGGCATGGGCCTTATCTATACCCTTGTGTCTTCAAAACTATTTTTCCCTTTGCCCCAGTGAGGTATTTCTGTCACCAGAGAACACAAAATGGGATAATGGTATGATGGCAGAGGGGTCCCTGAAGGTTTATTTTGGCCACTTGTGAGTTCCCCTGACCACATAGCGGTAAAGAGCCTTTACTATCTACTTCACAGGAAGGAGACTCTCACATTCTCTATTTTAAAAGGCTACAAATTTATTCTTTATTCTTTTTTTAAAGTGTTTTAATCAAACTATTTGACTTAAAAATGCAAGAACACTTTGCTAAAATTATAACTCAATCATGCCCAGGAATTATAGAAGGGCAGATTTTGGCTTATCATAAGGGAGAACTTCCAAGCAATTAGAATTGCCTAAAAATATGAGTTGCCTCACAATATAGAAATGGGGGAAAAATCTGCATGATCTTGTTAGAACTGGTTCAGAGGGGATTCATGCTTAAGGCAGAGGTTGAACAAGGTAACCTCTAAGGTCTCTTTCCTATGCTAAAAATTCCAGAAGTCAGTCTTATTCTAAAATCCTGGGCAGGAGCAGGGCTTGGAGCAAGCAAGAGAGCCAACTTTGGCACCCTTCCTCTACTCTAAGCCTCCTCATTATATATAGAAATCAGACTATCAGGCAGGGAAGTGCTATTATTATCCTCATTTTACAGTTGAGGAAACTGAGGCAAACAGGTTAAGGGACTTGCCCAGGGTCACATAACCCTGGGTTATGTGCTGGGTCCAAGCCCTGCTCCTGCCCACGATTTTTTTTTTTTAGGCAATTGGGGTTAAGTGACTTGCCCAGGGTCACACAGCTAGTAAGTGTCAAGCATTTGGTCTGAGGCCGCATTTGAACTCAGGTCCTCCTGACTTCAGGGCCGGTGCTCTGTCCACTGCGCCACCTAGCCACCCCTAGAATATTTTTTGCCGCTTGGGGTAGAGGGTTTGGGAGAACAGGCACACACTTGCCTTATAGAAGGTAACTAGGTGGCAACTAAGTGGTGCCATGGATAGAGTGCTGGGCCTAGAGTCAGGAAGACATGAATTCACATCCAGTCACAGACACTAGTTATGTGACCCTGGGCAAGTCCCTTAACCTGTTTGCCTCAGTTTCCTCAACTGTAAAATGAGGATAATAATAGCACCTCCCTGCCTGATAGTCTGATTTCTATATATAATGAGGAGGCTTAGAGTAGAGGAAGGGTGCCAAAGTTGGCTCTCTTGCTTGCTCCAAGCCCTGCTCCTGCCCAGGATTTTAGCCTGCCCATTCCAGTTGAACAAATTCAGCAAACCTCACAAGATACAGTTCCAACTTGGTCCCAGTTTTTCCCAGTCACCAGTGATGGCAGCCAGAGCCAAGACCGCCATACTTATCATACTACCTCCTAGTATTGTTGTGAGGATCAATTGAGATAATATTTGTACAGTGCTTGACACACAGTAAGCACTCTGTAAATGCTAGTTATTATTATTATAATTATGATTGTACGAGGTGTCCCAAAAGTCTTCTTTCAGCTTTAAGCTGAATGAAGATTTCTGTAATGCTCTGTATTAGAGAACAGCTATCCCTTTTGGAGAGACCAGTAAAAGAAATGGGAGAATTACTCACAGTAGCACTATCTCTTCCCAGTCCCATTCCTAGCAAGTTATGGAGGAACAATTAGAAAATCCTTCCCCTTTCCCCATCATTTTCTCCTTCTTCCCTCTTCCATTTCAACCATGTGCAGCAAGGTAATTTTTAGAACAGACCTGCCCGCCAAGCTGGTGCAGCAGTCAGAACGTCACTTAAACTCACCCCATTTCATGCTGCAAGTATCTAGGCTCTTCTGACATTTGCGTGAAGTCCTAGCACAGGACAAATAGAGCTTTGCATGAGGGCACTGACATTAGGGAGTATGCTTCTTTCCCATGGCTACTCACACTTCACTTCATGGTCTCCTATACCTACACTTACCACACCTTCTTCCCTTCACCAGGGGATGGGTCAATGAGGTTAAGAATCCTGTCCATCCTTTCAATGTGGATGGTCAGTAATGAAAACACATCTCTTCTCGATATCCCAGCACATGAACTATGGCTTTTATGAATTTCTTTTGTGCCACTCTAATGGTAACCCTCAGGCACGAAAAAGAAACTAACCATGCCTCATCTGGCCTTATCACCTTATGTGTGCTTTCTTTCCTTCCTCTTTGCTTTTGCCTAAACCATGCTCCCTCTGCCAGAGGACCGTCTCCAGTCATCCTGATCTATATCTCGCCACTGGACCCAGATGGCTTCAGAGGAGGAAGTGAGGCTGGTGACTTTGCACAGCCCCTCCTCACTTAAATCCAATTCACCTGCAAGTCATGGCATCATCTTCCTGATGTCTTGGTCCTCTTCAAGAACAAAGGACAAACAACACCAGCTCTCTCTGCCAAAACTCTCTGTTCCCTTCCTGTTGAAATCCCACCCCTTCTTTAAGGCACTGTTCCAATATTATTTTCTCCAGAAAGTCTTTCCTGATATGATACCACCAGCAAAAGTGGTCGGTTTTTCCTCAGAACTCACATATCACCACATACCTATCTTAGGCACTTACTGCATCTTTCCTTATTTGCTATTTATTTGTATAATGTCTTATTTCTCCCTTCTAGGCTATAAATTCCTTGAGGGTAGGTGCTGTTTTTTATTCATCTTTCTATACCACACAGCATTTGCAAATTGTAGTTGCCTGGCAGATAGTTTGATAGGTGAATATTGAATGAATTATAATACTTTATAGAGATCTAAATAAATTTCATTGCAGAGCAGATGTTTAATACCGCAAAGTTTTAAAAGAGGAAATCAGAGGATCATCTTTACCTGCCTAGGCAAGGTTTACCAAATCAAACTGAGTTTTCAAGGTACTCGGGAGATTGGTGTGAAAGGATATTATGTCACCCTTAGCCTTTTTTCTGATTTCTACATATCATGGGGAGGTTTAAAGTAGAGAAGGAAGGTTGCCAAAGTTGATTCTGTAGTCTATTCCAAGCCCTGTCTCTGCCCCTGTTCCTTGACCCCAAATAGCAAAGGATTTCAGCCTGCCAGATCTCAGTTCAATAAATTAAACAAACTCAAAGCAAGATACAGACCTAATTTGGTCCCAACTTACCCCAGGCACCAGTGATTGCAACCAGAGCCAAGATGAGCATGCACATTTTGACCTTCACGTTGAACTCAGTTCTGGGGTTTTGATGGGGACCGGAGATGGGGAGTGATAGTGGTGGAGAAAGTTACTCTGGTGTTATACCCTGAATACTATTTATAACCCAAGTCAGGTCCTCTTATCTTATCATAGGCCAGCTGTGAAATGCAGTATCTAAGACATGGTATGCTATAAACAATTAACCCCTCTATTTCCTGGTGAATGGACATTTTTAGGGCTCCTCTAACTGAATCAATCCCTTTCTAGCTGGCAATGGAGGATGCTCAGAATGATATGTCATCCTTTCACATCATCTCCCTTGATCCCTAGAGACCTTACAGATGTCCTTCATTGGGCTCACATGCTTTCTGGAGCCAGCAGGGTTAGTTCAGGGATTCCCTTTTTGAGGAGCACAAAGATGAATGCCTTTATCCAAGTCATACAGCAGAAGAGTAAGAGACAGACAGGAGAGAAAGAGATAGAGCCCTTAGCATCTAGCCTGTCAATGCCTGGCCAATGGGTGGAGAAAGTGAGGGGAAGGAGAGGGTTTAATGCAGAGGTGCATGGAGCTGGGTTTTTTTTTTTTAACCAATGAGAGCCCATTGTTAAATTTTCAATGTGAACATTTACATCTCAGAAATCTGCAAACACTACAGATCAGGGCTTGATTTATTGTTTTGTCGATTGTCTGTAAGGAAGTGATGGGGAAAATGTTGATGATATAGATTAAGTTGAGAAGTGTGTTCTCTTTTCAGAGAGCTGATTGTTAAAACATTTACTAGCCCAATAGTGCCTTCATCCTTAATAGCTGTCATCCTGTATCTCTCCTTCTCTTTGTGACTTCTTTTTTTTGGAGGCAATTGGGGTTAAGTGACTAGCCCGACATCACACATCTAGTAAGTGTCTGAGGCTGGATTTGAACTCAGGTCCTCCTGACTCCAAGGCCGGTGCTCTATCCACTGCTCCACCTAGCTGTCCTACTGTTGAAGTTTTTAATTCCAGTTTTGTCACTATTGCTAGTGACCTTGCTATGTGACCTTGAGCAAGGTGTTATCAATAAATTAAGAATAGTAACATCTACTCTACTTCTTTCTCTTTTAAAGAAGTTCTATTAAGGCTTTTTGTGATTTCTTGACATATCGTCTACCCTTCTAACAAAAAAAAACAATTAAGCAAAACTGACAATTGCAGTAACCATATCTGACAGTGCATGCCACATTCTGCACCCATAATCTTTCATCTCTCTATTGAGATGTGTGTTTAATCATCTGGCTTTGGGGCCAAGGTTAGTCATTGTGTTTTATCTGAGCTCTGCTGTTTTTTTTAACTGTTGTTTTCATCAAATTATAACATATGATTTCATGGAATATTAAAAGGAATGAGAAATAATAAAAGTGAAGAATTCAGAGAAACATGGGGGATTTGCATGAACTGATGCAAAGAAAACAGAACCAGGAGAGTAGTACACACAATGCTCTACTTCTATTACAGGGTGGTTTTGAATATTAAATGGAGTAGAGAGTGAGAAAGGTCTTTGGAAAGTATACAATCTAGAAAGGATAATAAAACAATCCAAACTGCTCTGGAAGAATGAGAGTTCTCCCTCTGAAACCCTCTGGCACTATGTTCACATTTCTCAGGCTGTCTTATATTTTAGTTATTTGTATAAGTCTTAAAACAACTCAAGGGCAGATATTATGCGTCTCTCCCGCAGCAGCTTGTATATAGTAGGTGATTAGTAAATATTAATAATAGCTAGTATTATTATAGCATCTACTATATGCCAAACACTGTGCTAGGCATTTTAGAAAATCTGATTTGGTGCTATTAAGATCCTCATTTTACTTTTTTTTTTTTAAGGCTGTTGGGGTTAAGTGACTTGCCCAGGGTCACACAGCTAGTAAGTGAAAAGTGTTTGATCTGAGGCTGGATTTGAACTCAGGTCCTCCTGACTTCGGGGCTGGTGCTCTATCCACTGTGCCACCTAGCTGCCCTTATAATCCTCATTTTACAGTTGAGGAAACTGAGACAGATAAAGGCTAAATGACTGCACTTTACAAATACTATCTCATTTGATCATCACAGCAACCCTCTGAGGTAGGTGCTATTATTGTCCTTATTTTGCAGTTGAGGAAACTGAGGCAAACAGAGGGTAAATGACTTTCCCAAGGTCACACAACTAGTAAGTGTCTGAGGTCAGATTTAAACTCAGGGTTTTCTGATTCCAGGTCCAGTGCCACTTAGATGCCTCAATATTAAATGAACATTTCCAAATGTCATCCTCTTGGCAATGATAGTGACAGGGGAGATAGGTGGCTCAGTGGAGGAAGTGAGGTGATTCAGTGGATAGAGTGCCAGGCCTGGAGTCAGGAAGACTCATCTTCCTGAGTTCAAATCTGACCTCAGACACTTACTAGCTGTGTGACCCTAGGCAAGCCACTTAACCTTATTTGCCTCAGTTTCCTCATTTGTAAAATGAGCTGGAGAAGGAAATGGCAAACCACTCCAGTATCTTTGCCAAAAACCCCCAAATGGGGTCACAAAGAATTTGACATGACTGAACAACAACAACAACAAAAACAAGGGACGTTAGTCCTAGGAGAAAAATATTACCCAAAGAAAAAAAATTAGTCTTCAATACTAAAAGATTGCTGTCTTTTTATGAAGATCCTAGCCCTGTGGTGTGGGCCAATCCCTGCCCCAGCTGGAAGAGTTAACTGTTAATCCTTATCATTTTAATGCCTGTTTATTTAAAGTCAGTATTTAATAACATCATTTCCTGTATTTAAAAAAAAGAGATGATAGTGAGAAGAGGGAAGTGACCATGGTGACTGTTGGACCAATGACTCCTGAGGCCTTCTGGTGCTGATAACACCATAGAGCATGAGTACAGAATCCAGCATTCACAAACACCTGTCATCAAATCAAAGGTAAGCAATGTCATCTGAGGCTATTCTTGGTGGCCCTTTACCACCCCTGCATATGCCCCTCTTTCTTTTCTCTCTTTCTCTCTCCTTGTTCTCCCCCTCTCTCCTTGTTCTCCCCATCCCTTTCTTCATTTCTTTCCCCATCACCCTTCCCCAATTGTGGCTTAGTTCCTCCGGTGACATCTTAGCTTCACCTTGGATGCCATCCCCCAAAGCATCAGAGATAAAATGGGGTGCTTGAGTAGTCACTATTTTAGGACCATGTTTTCCTTTGGAGAGTTTATCACCTCCAGAATTAAATATAAAATTCCATGTTTGGCATTCAGGGCTCTTTGTAACCTGGCCCATTTCCCACATTTCCAGTCTTTTTGTACCTTACCTACCCCTATATTCTGTGACCCAGTATCACTGGTCTCCTTGCTGTTCCTAACACACAACACGCCACCTACCAACTTGGAGCTTGGCTGTTTCCCATGCCTTGAACCCCATCCCTCCTCATCTCCATTTTTTGACTTCCTTCAAGCCCCAGTTAAAATTCCATCTTCTATAAGAAATCTTTCCTGATCCTCTTCAATACTAGTGCTTTCCATCTATTGATTCTTCCCACTATATATGCACACACATAAACACACATGCATGCAGACATGTATGTATACCACATGTATATTGCAAACAACGATGCATACACATATACAGTTTGTATATATTTGTCTGCAATATATGCATATACAGCATATGTATATACCACACACAAACACGCAATAGTATAGTTTGTATATCGGTGTCTGCGTGTTGTTTCCCTCATTAGACTGTGAGCTTCTTGATAGTAGGGACTGTTTTTTGTCTTTTTCCGTATCCTCAGTGCTTAGCACAGTGCCTGGCACAGATGAGATGCATGACAAATGCTTGCTGTTGACTATTTCATAGCCTCCTAGGATGTGAGAGCTGGAAGGGCCCTTAGAGGATGTCTGGTTGAATCCCACCATTTTACAGTGGAAACTTAAGCCTAGGAAGGAATTAATGACAAAGCCCAGATTAAGGGTCCCTGGACTTCCAGTTCAGGGCTTTATCCCTTGTACCCCTCCCATCAGTGTCCTGATGGGAGATATCTGATTGTAGAAACTCTTCCCATGGTAGGTCAAAAGGTATGCTTCTCCAACTTGGCATATAACTTACAGTGCTAGAACTGATTGAAGACAGAATGACTACAAACACACAATTTATGCAGATTGTCCAAGATTCGCCCACAGAGAAATTGGCCCTTTTGACCGTCATTTCTCACGACACTACTGAGGGATGGGGTGAGTCACCCTGGGCTTGCCATAATTGGTAACTCTGTTAACTCTGGAAATTGCTTCCTCTTGGGTAGTGAGAGGCTGTGTGGCCAAAATGGAAAGAGCATGGGATGAGGAATCAGAAACCCGGGTTCAGGTCCTAACTCTGCCTCAGAGTTTTCTATAGTCTTACATCGTGAGACCATACAATTTCATGATTTGAGATAATCTCATAACTTGAGTATCTAAAAGGATCAAGAAGGATGGGAGACTCTCAAGAATGAAATTCTAATGATAAACAGGTGGATTTCAGAAAAGCCTCGAAAGAATTACATGAACTGATGCTGAGTGAAGTGAGCAGAACTGGGACAACATTGTGCACAGTAACAGCAACATTGTGTGATGACTAATGTTGATAGACTTAGCTCTTCTCAGAAATACAAGGATCTAAGACAACTCCAAAGGATTCATGATGGAAAATGCTGTCCACATACAGAAAAAGAACTATGAAGTCTGAATGCAGATTGAGGTATACTATTTATTCTTTCTTTTTTTTTTTGTTTCTTCTTTCTTGTGGTTTCTCCCATTGGCTCTAATTCTTCTTTACAACATGACTAATGTGAAAAATATGTTTAATATGAATATATATGTAGAGCCTATATCTGATTGCACACTGTCTTGGGGAAGGGGGAGGGTAGGGAGGGGGAGAAAATTTAGAACTCAAAATCTTATGGAAGTGAATGTTGAAAACTAAAAAGAAATAAATAACTTTTTAAAAAAGGAAATAAAAGAAATTCTAATGACCCGTTCTCAAATTATTTCATCGAAGGGGAAGAAAGTAGGAGACAACTTGAAGAAATCAATGTTGCTGTCCTGGGACCTCTTTGATAAAGTTGTACCTTTGATAAAGGACATGTACAAAAGACAGAAGCAGGGACTCATAGCCAAGGATGAATATAGAAGAGGAGCATAGTCCTGTTAGAATGGTTTTGATTAGTGCTACAATCAATAAGCCAGGGAAGTTGATATGTAGGAGTAGAAAAACAGCCAATTTTTCCAGTAGCTCTGATGAGAGTATTCGCCTCTCTCCCACTTTGAGAGAGCGAGGCAACTTATAAAAGCATAGAGAGTCTAGTTTGTTAAAAATAGTTCTTATATTGTAACTGAATGTGTTAACAATCAATCATGTCATCAATCAATGAACATGTATAAAGTACCTACTATGTGTTAGTCACTGTGC